AACTCGTATACTTAATTAAGCATGTCTAATTGTGTGCAAGCAATCAAAGCAATGCTAGTGGCATTACCAACAGGTGGCGCTGTGCATGGCTCACGTTTCCAGGACAAAGACCCAGAAACTTGAATCTTGACCGAGACATGGGACCTTAATTGCTATTACAATTTGCGCCCACGATAATAATTGTGTCCGTTACCTACAATAAGTGTCGTGTTAATAGTAAGAAGGCAATATCTATGCGTGAGTCTCCGAGTTTTAAGTTTTATCGAAGGATGCTAGGACAAACTGTCTCATTGAACAAAGATTTTGGTCTTCTCACTATCACCTCATTGTAACTGTGAACAGGAAAAGAATTAGATACTTAGAATGTCCTATGAACTATTTTAGGGAAATCATTATACGTGGTCAATTATTAGGGCATGTGTTAGATAGAAGTGCTCAAAATCAGGGCCTTTAGCCAAACGCCACTTTAGCGCTTGTCTACAGAGAGAGTAGAAATCAAAATGTATGGGGATAACACTGACAAGTGTCAAAATTTACGTCAATTCCATATAATTTAGTTTTCTACTCTACAAGTAGATAAGCGCTAAATGGCATTTGGCTACAGCTGCTGGTTACATACGTTACAATTGCTCCACCAAGGAGCAATTGTGATACTGAATGTATGAGATACAGTCAGCTATCTATGAGTCTCAAATAGGTAAATTTCTATTGGGTGGTCTCAAGCCATGTTGATTATAATGTTGGAACTAGAATCGAGTACCTAGAATAGGTTAGATATGTGTGATGTGATACGCAATAACGCACGTGCGTATCAATTTCTAGACCAATGTGCTCCGAAAAGTTAATACATTTTCTAGATATTTTAATTTAATACTGATTTGTAATAGTAGATGTATGTGTTACTCATTAATTTCGGTAGTTATTTATGGATAATTCCGTTTGTAGATACTTTATTTGCCTAAGAACTTAAATTGCAGAATTATTCTGCCTCAGACGCCATTACTTAGATATTGGATTTAGTATTTGCATGATCGCTGCGGCCGAATTTTAATTTAGAGTTCGGAAAAAGTAGGTCTATGTTTTCTAACAGGAAACAGGTCTTTTGCAGTTCAAGTATACCAAGATTTTAGTGGATTAACTTAGTAGAAACTGAAAGTTTATTTCATACAAAAAGTTCTAAACCTATTTTCGCGACTCATTATTTTGAACGGTCTGCCTTCAAAATATGCGGTAATATTTTCCGTTTAACATGCACAAAGCACTTATAATTAATGCTTTATAACTACGTTATCAGTACTGCTATCTATGTCGTTTTATCATACTATGTATAAGATATATTAGTAGGTAGGTTGGTACAGTTTTCGTAACATGATTCCTGTTTGGAAAACTAAAACGCGGTCACTCATTTCGTCAACCACAATATTCAGCAAACAAAACGTTTCAGATCCAATAGGTACTGTTGAGTACAATAAAGGATTAATTTAACAATTTTATTACAATGTACTTACTTAATTCACCAATTGATGTATTGAATAGACGACGACTAAAGATTGATGATGAAGCGAAAGATGTATGTAAGAATCGTAGCAATTGGCGTTCCATAGTCTCTGCCTACCCCCTGGGGACCGGCGTGAGGATATGTATGTATGTACATAAAAAAGGTATACTAAAAACATTACTTTCATTCAGCAATATCAGATGATACTCTTCATTACTTCCCTTTATTGTATATCTCATCGCTTCAATGGTTTCGAAGGCAAGCCAAGCAAGAGAACTACATGATGAAATTAATAATATCTTATTTTGGAATACATTTAATGGAATACAGACAAATCCTACGCAAGGATTATTTAGGTATCTAGACTAGCTAGAAAACAACTAGGGAGTTTAAAACTACCTAAACGATATGTTGGACCTAAATGTGAACTACAAGTTACAAGTATTTACTTAGCAGCAAGCGCAGAACCAAGCACTTTCAAACATATCTAACCGAGTCTGATACATACATAAATTAATTAGGTGTCGCGCAGAACCTAACGGGTAACCGGGGCTCCGGCTCAACGTGCAGGAGAAGGAACGGGGTGGTTTTTAGTCAGTAAGAGTCTGACACTCCCTCCCGCCTCACCCAGGCGGAAGCAGTCATTCGTTGATTTTTCCCCCTTAAAAAAATAATAATTAGGTATATAGGTGAGTAACTGAGTAGTATCTTTTTTAAAATAATGATGGAAACAATTCTTCAATAGTCACAGAAACCACACAGTTCAATGAACTAATAAATACGGATTTCTTAAAAATACACTTGCGTTACTTATCTTATTGCCTACTTATCATAAAAAAATGTATCAATTTAAGATAAAGTATCAGTCTAAATAGGCACATACCTAGTTATTGAAGAAAATTAAATGAACAATAAGAATACATTTATTTATTTTAAATTATTTCAGGATCAACTACATTTTTAACGGACAGCGCAGTTGATTTAAAATAAAATGACTGTTTCAACACGTGCATCTCTGTAAAACATATTGTCCGCCTATGTAGGCTAGGCTACTAGGCCTAAAGTATATCACTACGTAACTGAAAGTATATTATATCGACCACTTTTATACCCTTCTGCAACTAAGTACCTGCTTAGTTAAATCCTTACGTCATTTCTTTCTTCTTTCTATATGCCTAATAATTCTATTAACCGCTTGAATGCACCGATATGAGACACAATAGAAAATACATTGTATCTCGTGTGGATCCACGTTTTAGCCCCACGAAAGGTAAGGCGACTTCAAAAAAGAGGGGGGTCGGTTTTTTAACCGATTTCCCAAAAAGGAGGAGGTTATCAATTCAGCTGCATGTTTTTTGTTTGTGTGTATTTAAACGTAGTTTTGAAAGACTTGTGTAACGTAGTCTATATATATAAAAATGAAACCCGTTTCCCGTTGTCACGTCGTAACATGGGAAAACGGCTCGACCGATTTGGCTGATTTTTTTTGTTGCATTTGTTATATTTAGGAGAAAGTTCTTAGGACAGAAAAAGTCCTGAAAATTCTACGGGTACGGATGAAAACGGGAATGCGCTTACGAAGTCGCGGGCAGAAGCTAGTTTTTAATTAATATACTAAAAACTTCTTCTAAGTGTAACAAACACTTTTCTGAAAACCAATCGCAAGATAATCGCACACAAATACACATACATACATTCACACAGGTCAAACTGAGAACCTTATTTTTTTCAAGTCGATTAAAAATAGAAAATCATGAGAGCATCGTAAAGACCGGTTTACATAAGCTGCAGTGCAGCCGGCTAAGGTCAACAGAACTGATAACCCGTACTGAGAAAATAAGCATCTACCTCCATTCTGACCCCAGCGACCCGAAGATGGATACAAACAGCGTATCTGTACTGCACGACGCGAGACGATGCGCATGCGCCGATAGGCAGAATTCGTTATTTTTCAAAAGACATCCTGTCCCTAGTTACATCATCAAGTATTTTACTTTGTATCCACAATATGACAATATCCATATGATAATGGTGCTTCTATTTAAAAAGGCAATAGTTTAGCTGAACTCAATGCTAAGTTTGAACAGAAATGGAAGTTGAGGATCTATTTTATATAAGTAGGTACTTAATTGTATTGCCTTGTTTGCCGATTGGTCGCAAATGCGACTGCCGGGGGTTTCGGGTTCGATTCCCGGGTCGGGCAAAGTATTACTGGGTTTTTTAAAAAAAACCTCAATAGTAAAATGGAGTCTGGAAATGTGCCCGGTATATGGGAATAAGCTCACCCCCTATTACATGGGACTCATAACATAAAATAGTGAAAAGTGGGTGTTACATTGTACAGTAGCATTAAGTGCCTCAATGTGTACCTCTGACTATCCCTTCGGGGATAAAAGGAGTGAAGTTATGTTACTTAATTATAAATTATGTACTTAGCTGAGGCAAGATTCAAGACAGACTTGTTTGTAATTATCTAACAGTTGAGTTGCACTAAGTGCTAGGGTAGGTACCTGCTTAGAGATATGAAAAAATACACGTAATTTTTTATTTTGTAGTATAATAAAACAATACTTAGATAAAACGACTCAAAGTTTAGGAGTGGGAGCTAAAACATCATTTCTACGTATAAAATGTACTTAGAAATGACATCACGCGACATTTTAAATCAATATATCGTGGAAAGTATTAGTTTCTGTATAAAAATAAAAATACGTGCCTAATAATTTAAAATAATCTACCAGACGGACAGTAAAATAAAAATTAGGCATCTACCTTATTCTAGTGTGTCATTCTATCATTTGATTATATTAGAATTAAACAAGGACCACTTTATTATCGATATTATTTTCTTTTGTTTTCTGATCTTTCTTCGAAAGTGCATCATTTATACATTAGTGTTACTCTCATAAAAACTCACTTAATAAAAGGTTTCATGCGTCGTAAAATTAAGTAAGTACCTACCTACATCTACCCGCACTTTGTTAACTTTTAAGAAAAGCTACTTTAGGTAGGTACTTATAGGTACTTGTATAGGCATGTCTGAAACAAGTCTACGAATATAATTTTCTTCACAAACCCATTTTATTGATTTACAATAATATATTGGTGATTCACTATTGTTAGTTACTGATAAAATGAAGATAAATAGATACAATTGATGTCAATAACTTGTGAGACTTCTTTGTTTTACTGTTGTTGAAATAGCGGTACCTAGGTATCTATATTATACTATATGGTACCGACCTATCTGTATTATAGGTAGAGGTACCTACATAAGTATAATGAATTACAAGTCAACTTCCTCATATATGTACATAGAATAGCTAGAAAACAATAGGCAAAATCCCTGAAACCACGTGTTATTCCCTACTTCAAATACAATGTAACCGAGTGGGATATCCTTTGCAATGGTGCACGCTTAGAAATCAAACCACATTAAACCCCTGACTAAGTACTCGGTACTTGTGGCTTGTATTAAATTAATTTTGTTTTGATATTTCAGAATATTTGAGAAAGTGTGTCTGGTGGCTCTGCTGTGTGTGTGCGGCACACAGGGCAAGGAGATGACAGAGATCGAGGCGTTGGGCGCGCAGCCCACACACTGCACCTACGAATACGCCTTTGAAATGTACGGCGCCCACTGCGCCAGCCGGCGTCTCAGCAAGGTACCCAATTTGAGGAGTGGTATTGAGGTGAGTCTATTTATGCTATCATATCCTAAACTAATTTTGTCAATTTTTAATTAAGTTTCTACTACCTACCTACTACCTACTAGGCATATTACTGATGAAGGTACCCAAAAAAATAAAAATCTTAATAGGCAAAAAGCTAAAAGCTTTCAGTTGTAACAAAAATTATTCAATCAATTAATTAGTGCTTTTATCAATTGCAGATCCTGGACTTTAGTGACAACAAGCTGCAGGAGGTCAATGCCGACACACTGTCTAGTTACACGAACATCAAGTTCCTGTACCTCGCAGACAATCACATCTACCTCATAGAGGAGGACGCGCTCACGTCTCTCACAGATCTGCAGACGTTGGATCTCGCCAACAACGTCATACTAGAACTGCCTAACTCAATATTCCAACTACCGTCCCTAAGGAAACTGTACCTGAGAGGAAACCCAATTTTCTACAAAAATATGAACGCCCTCACAATAGTGAAGCCGATTAAAGCGCCACTGGAGCTCTTGGATATATCAGACTGCAAGATAAGAGAACTACCGGATTGGGGTTACCTGCCGCAGCTGGTGTTCTACAACATCTCACACAATCCACTCGCTTCTCTTAACACGCCGCACTTCGCTTCCATGTGCAACCTTAACAAAGTAGACCTAACCGAATCTTTAAATAGCTTGAAGCTGTGCGGCATCAGATCCACAATCCTATGGTTCCAACAGAAAAGAATATTTTTCCAATTGGAAGACTACTCTAGACTCAATACTAGAGGTAAGTTTTTATACGTGGGTAGCTCGATAACACTAAAGAGCATATCTAAGTAGGTACTGACTACCTAGAGGTACATAATAGCCCTAAGTAACTTACGCTTGCTTTCTGAATTACAGAGTTCGAAAACTGTCCGGTACCAGAAGACGATGGATCTCACAACGCCACCTTTCATCGATGCAAAGCAGAATATTTGCAGGTACCTAACTTAATTTTAACATCATGGATACCTACGGTAGGGGCCTAATTAATTATTGACCTTATGCTAGTTGGTAATTAACTCTACGTAGGCATTGAGACAAGTTCTTACAAACTGATATAGGTACTGTAAATTACAATGGTTAATGATATTCCAGGTGCAAAGTATAAGGACGTCGCGTCGCACGTGGCTGACGATAGGCGGAGGGCTGGCGGGCTTCCTCGTCGGCTTCATCCTACTACTGTATGTGATGCACCGGCACAACGTGAAGCAGACAAAGACCAAGGCTGAGAAGATGAAGCACGCTACTCCAGCCGACGCAGACAGGAACGCCAGTGCAGTCCTCCTTAGCGACGTCGCGTAGTTACTGGCACCGTCACGTATTTAAATTCTTGCCTGATAATACGGCAATCATTTCAATGCCTAGTACGCAATTCGTATGACAGGCGTACAGAAGTTGCTTGATAACGAAATTGAAATGTCGAGATACGCCCGCCATGATTGCGATTGACGATTGTAATACGTCCAATCATTTTATTTATAAATGGTGAATATTCAGGGTATTTAACGAACCAAAGAATATTTGGCAATATTTTAAATTAACACTACGTATCTACATTTATATTAAAATTGTGCTTTGTATGTTTAATGTGGTGCTTTAGCGACATATATGTTGCGAAGAGTTAAAATAGTAGGTATAGGTATTTGTAATTCAACTAAGCTTAGTTTGGCCTAACAAGAATAACTAGCCCTTAGGGCAACCGCAAATGATAGGTAAAATCCTATGTATTCTAGATAATTAATAAGTTTAGGAAGATGTTACAGTGGTTAGATAACCTTCCATTATTTAGTAACAAAACTTCTGAAGAACTCCAAAGCTATGAAAGGCTGACTAGTTTTAATATTGTACCGTTTTATTCACCCTGGAGCCTGGAGGATTTTGCAGTTGTAATATCGTATGTGGAGTGTCATAGATAGGTACCTATAGGTATGTATGTGAGATGTAAGAATTGTGATTTTGTATGCACAGGTGATGAAAATACCTACACACATGAGTCTGAATACCTGTGCGACCGTGCATGACATTTAATTTAGCTTGGGTGTGAGAATCATGTAAAGTAAGAACTTTGAACATTAATTTAAATATTAAAAGTTAGGTATATTATATTTAAGAATAATTATGTTCAAAAATCGCTGCAAAATATTTTTTAGCCACACTGTATCTATTACTTTCGTTGGTGATTGAAGAGAATTTCAATTAATATCTTTGTATAATGAGTATAAAACTGAAGGTATTTAGTATTGACTATTTAGCAGTGGATGGTAGTGACCAGCACATCAATCTACTCCAATGCGTCAAGTTTTGTCATTGGATTATCGACTTTATGTCTAAACGATAGAGTTGTAAATCTTATAAAGAAATTTGACTGAAGTGTTAGGCCCTGCTGCCCACTGTAAAATGCGCGCTCATAATGAGTGTTTGCTTCTATCTTCTATGTAGTACTATCAATTAAGTAGGTATGCTTGAGTTTGATCGTGCCGGCGAGTATCATATTTGTGCGATTTCATCCAAATCTTGTTACATATTTTTCTATTTACAATTCTCAAAATATTTTTAAAGATAATGTGTAATAACGAGGGTATTTGTATAAAGTGTATGTGATGAGTATGAGTTTAACTATTATTATGAATTCATAAAACGATGTTTAGCATTCCATAGTCTCTGCCTACCTCCATGGGAAACAGGCGTGAGGTTATGTATGTATGTAAAAAGGTGTTGAGGTATATATGGTTTATATATTTATTAATATTGGTGTGTGTGTTGGTTGGTCTAACACTACTTCGAAGACCGTTTGAGTCTTAGTTTTGTTGTATCTACAATAAGTACAATAAGGGGATAATACTGAATACTCATCTAAAATAATAACAAAATATAGAACTCTATTGTCATTATATCACAGATTATATAATTATTTTTATTTCCATTACTAATACCTTTATAGAAAATTATATGTATGCAATTGTTTTTCACACAGGTTACTATTATTACCAAAGATTTCACTGTTAGTATATTAACACACTGTAATATAATTTGGTATTTTTGTAAACAATTATTAAATTGTCTGTTTGTAAACTGTAAGTTAAAATTCACTGTGATAAGTATTAAAAATGTTACTAATTACTACTTTGTTTACTTTACCACCAAATAAAATAAAATCCAGATACCCCATTTCAAAAATTAATTATATTTAAATGAAATTAACAAACTGAATTAAATCGTCACAAGCTAAAAATATGTTGCATTAAATGCTATGTTGATTTTTTTTGTAATGTTAAAACATCTCCAACTCAATCGAAATGAATGTAAACTAAACAAATCAATAAAAACAACAGCTGAGTAAACACGAACAGTGGTTCCTTCAGTTGGCACATTCAAGTGTCCTCATCTACTGAGTCTGCCAGGACACGTATTGAATGCCAGCTTCAGGGTAATTCCGTTGAATGTTGTCCAAGTTTAGGGTAGCGTGACATTGGCTTCAGGTGTCTTTCTTCTCACTATCGTTTATACTTTTGGCGGGCGGCGGCGTGTCCTTCTCCTTGGCCAGGCGCTGCTTGCTGAACTTCCCCATTCCCGGCTGGTAGATCACGAGGCTTGGACGATCCTGGAACAATGAGTATACACATTTATTAAAAGAAAGATTAAAATATGCATAAAAATCATGAACAAGAAAGAATTTTCTTTCAATCAAAACAACATGAAATACTTATCAACGAATAGATGAAGATTATTTACCTTATTTCTAATTCTCCTTTCCGTCCGACGATCACCACTCTCACTCTTCTCCTTCTCCTCCGAACCCTCCCTGTCAGTGGATTTGCTTCTGTCGTCCAGAGAATTTTGCCTTTTCAAAACTAAATCATCCTTGACAGGCATTTCCCCAGACTCCAAGCTATTCCTCCTCATCTTTGACACACCTACAGGGGAGCTCTTAGAGGTTGAGTCATCATTGGACTCCTTACTACTATCACTGAGCTTCACTTTCTTGTCCATTCCCTCGATGATCTTAGTCAAGTCGTCAGTCTTTACGTGGGGCAGTTGAGTGAATGGTTTGATGTCGTCATGATTTATAGACTTAACTTTATTGTCAGAAGACATGATTTTGTTTATAGCTGATTGTTTGTCTGATTTCCCAACTTCAGTTTGTTTTATTCTCTCTTTCCTAGTGTCACTATACTTTTTACTCTTCACCTCGCGGGGTGACTCCTTACTGAATTTAGTATTCTCCCGTTTATCTTTCTTGTATCCCATGTCGTCGTCCTCGACCTGGTCGTCGTCTCTGGCGTCTCTTTTATCAGAATCAGGTTTTTTCTTCTTGTCACTTACAACAGTAGCACCAGTCTTGCGCTGGTCTCTATATGATTTAGATTCAAATACAGATCCATCTTTCCCATCAGACTTCACCTGGTCATCCCTGGCATCACTTGCTTTTTCTTTTTCCCATTCTCTGGATTTGATTTTTTTGACTTCACCTTCTGCAGTCTCTTCCTCCTAAAATGTATTAATAAATTAATTTTAAATTATTCGTTATTATTTTTTCAGAAGAATTTATCACGAGGCTACATTGGTATAAGTTCAGGGATTTCCTTATTTTACATTTAATACTTTGATTTCTTTGGGTTTGAAAGTTTTTACGAGTTACTACTTTACAAATGTGTCAGATACGAAAAACTAAGAGACAAGTTTAAAACTACACCACAATAATAAAATTTTACAGGCCTGCATACATGTGTAATGTATGATTCTATACTTGTGAAAATACAAACTACTACAAATCTTAATTATATCCAAATGGAACTGAGTTTCATACAGCAAACTATGAGAAATTCATGTTGATATAATACTGGGAACCTTGAAACATGTGTCACCACCACTTTTCTGGCTACCTTCTTGTGTTTCTTTCTTATCACAGAATTTACCAGAGGTTAGTGTGAATGTGTTGTGGGTCTTGGTAGACAGGGCGGGGAAGTGGCTGTCCCAGTCAGAGTCAGTACTGATAAACTCATCAGAACCATGAATACTCTTTAGTTCAGACTTGGAGACTGCACATTTCACTTTACTTTTATGATATATTCTTTGCTCTCCGTACCAAAAACTGTGATTGTTGTATTTGTTGTCATAGTAATCTATATTGTCATTGAAGTTCTCATCTTCTGATATATCACCAGGTCTCTAGAGAAACGATGGAGAAAACAAAGGATATAAGTAATGATTGGGATTGGGCAAGGAAGGATTGGATTTGTTGTTAGATTAAAGGTCTAGTACCTATTACTTTACAGTTGCCCTATATATACCAGTTGCTACAAGTTACCTTAATAGAGTCTTTGGTTTTCCTTTCTATCCTCATTTTCCTCTTGTCATTCTCTCTCCTGCGACGCTCATCTCTTCCTCGCTTATCCTGCTTTCGAGCAGCAAGGTATTCCAGCAATGGAGTGGATTGTACTTTCTTGTCATTGGCTGTAAAAGTGTAGGTAATTGATGTTTAGTATTTATGCAACATGATTGGGTTGCTTGCAAAAGTAAACTAAGAGAGGAAGGAAATAAAGTCTTAAATTGCTTCCATGTTCAATCATGTGTGAACCGACCAATTGTTCACGGATGGTGGGTTCACAATGTGTATTATTCATGTTAATATTAGAAAATGTTACAAATGAAACCGTTATTTTATAAATTTGTATTAACAGGGTCTGATGATCTGTGAGTACAAATGATATAATAGAACTGTAAAGATAATTATCAACATAATGTCAATTAAGCTAACAGGGAACATAATCAGCCATTGTGCAACATGCCTTTAATTTGTCATTTTATACTAAAACCATAATCTTTGTGGTTTTCATATCTTGCTTCCTTTCACTTAGTGAGACATTATATAACATTGCTTGCGAAAGAAATGCAACATATATTTTCTTCTACAATTATTTCACAATGTTTTTATTTATAGATAACTAGCTTCTGACCAGATTTCCATGGGATAAAAAGTAGTCTATGTGTTACTACAGACCATATCTATCCCTATTCCAAATTTCATCCTGATCCCTTCATTGAGTAACAAACATACTCAAACATACAAACATTCACATTTATATTAGTAAGATTCCAGGACTACCATACTCACAATCGTTAACAGGATAAGAATATTCAAGTTTTGGTTGATTTTCAGTCTCAGGATCTTTTTTGAGACTTTCAACAAAGTCTTGATAGATGGGGTCACTCTCTATGGTACCACATTTGGGGTCTTTCTTCTTTTTTTTCTTGGGTATTCTTTGGAACGGGGCATACTCCACTATTCCCACATACTCTACACCTGAAACACATAATTTTTGAAATCAATAACCAAATGTCAAATACATAATTTGTGGGGGATCATTTATAGAAAGTAGAAAGCAGTTTGTTTGTGTATTTTTTTGGGATTTAATAAAATTATTTGGCCATTAGAAAGTTTCTTAGTCAAGGAATAATTTTATTCCCACTATACCTTACAGAATCAGGGCCAAATCCTACAGATATTGCCGCTGATAGAATATAAATAGCAGAAGTAGAAGGAAGAACATAGGTTTATATCTAACAAAAGCTGTTGGTTTCAATTAAATTGTTGGCAATTAATTATATTATTCACTGATTACTTTCCAAAACAATAATAATTAATTAGTTCCACATAGTTAACTACTGTGAGAGTAATTAGGAAAATAACGTTTTCAGCAAGTAATTGAAAAGATATTCATATTAAAATTGTTTTGTATGTGACAATGTTAGTGTTCATTTGTCAATAAACCTACAGGTTGGCCAGGTGTTACCAATATTATAAGCTATCTATATGTTTTGTAATGGGCACACAATTGCAAATACTTATAATTCTAACACAGACTTCATTTTAGGATGTGTGGTCCTTAGGGTCAGGGAAAACCATTCGAATTGCAGATAATAAACTCTGTTGTTTATTATTAAGTTGGTATGAACAACTGAATCAACAGTGGCATAATACAAGTTATATACATTCACATTTCACAATAATTTGACATCAATGTAATAGAATCTTACCTTTTTCATCTAGAAATACATATCCATCGAATTTATCTCTAAATAAGTAAATATCGTCAACATTAACGAAGTTTATGTAAGCTCTGGAATATAGGTTATTGCCAAGCGAAGGGTCTGGCTTAGCAAAATAGAAATGGTCATGTTCAGGTATCGGCGAAACCTGCTCCAAAAACGCCTCCTCAGTCATAGTAGGCGGTAACCGCCGAAGTATAATCTGAAACAAGAATAACCTCGTTCAAATCTCTTTGTTGTAAATATATTTACAGACAACAATTTCTAATAAAGCAAACAGTCACTTTGGTCAGCGGCCGTTGGGTTTTTGTTTTCTTGTCCTTGTTCTTATTAATAAAGGTTTTACTGCCCGAATCTGACTGCGAATCTTTTGCATCTTGATCTTCAGTCATTATACAATTTAATTAATAATATCCCTCAACGTTTTAGGCAATCCCTCAACATTATCAAAAAACCGTGTGTCGTGTGTAATTTTTTTGACATTTATTTGACAGATGGTAGCTTTTTATTTTTATTTTGAGCAATGTTCAGCACACACATTTGTACATAGTGCCTATTTTAATAAAATTTAGTCGATTAACGCTCGCGCTCCTCTATTACCACGATATTTTTAAGCTGTGGTATAAAAAATTTAATAGTGTCAAAGTCAAAATAAATAAGATTTGAATTTGAGGTTATTTAAAGGCTGTAATAAAACTAAAATATATCTGATAAAATAAGTCGAAAACGATTACTAAATAATTGTAAACGCCACAAGATTGTAGAAGCAATATGCTTGCCACAAGACTGTCGAGACAACTAAGAGGAACCAGTGCTGTGCTTAGTTCACGAGCATTTTGCAGCCCTACTGTTCCAACTGGTACAACTGGTACTGCTAAAGAACAAGAAAGTGTTTCTACAGAGGATGCTGTTGTTAAAGTTAGCGGTTTCGCTAAGGCGTTTGAGAAACAAACTAAAATGTTAGATACAGAAGATAAAGAACAAAATTTTACCTTTGCATCTTTACTTCGGCATTCTAAATTGATGGACGTGAGTAAACATGCATAGTAATCGACTAATAAATTTGATTGCTATTACCTATTATTTCCAATGAAACATACCTTAGACCCAAGTTTTAAAAAATCAATTCCATTGATGATTCTGTTAACGTTTTCAGCTTGGTGACCCTACCAACAAAGTGGTCATTGGTAAAATATTCCATGTAGTTGAGGATGACCTTTACATTGACTTTGGATGGAAGTTCCACTGTGTCTGCACGCGCCCAACTGTCCGAGGTGATGAGTATGTTCGAGGAGCGAGAGTGAGAATACAGATTAAGGACTTGGAGCTGTCTTCTCGATTCTTAGGCTCTAGTACAGACCTTACGCTATTGGAAGCAGATTGCAAGCTCCTAGGGTTAATATCTACACCAATCAGACCCACTACTACTGCTCCCGTAAGTGCTAAGTAATATTACCTCTATATATATATATAATGTAATCTAGTTAGTAGTTGTTAAAGTAATAAATAATGTTGTTTAAAATATTGTTGTTTGCTCTTTATAGTTCTATGTTAAACTACAATACTATTCTGAATATTTGAGCGGTAGTTACAGTAAGTTTATTCATCTTTTTTGTTATGGCAACCAGTTAATTTGTAATTTGCCAGTACTGATCCAATCAACCTCCATCAGGTTGTATACTCCTTCACCAACCCCTTCAGGGTTGGGTCATTATGTTAATCATTCAACAAATTGTTCCTATAACATAATGTTCATTACTCTGCCCACATAATATCACGCCTTTTATCCCCGAACGGGTAGGCAGAAGTGCACATTACGGCACTGATGCTACTTTTTTCCCACTTTTACCCACTTTTCACTATTTATGTTAAGGAGTCCATGTAATAGGAGGTGAGCCTATTACCATACTGGGCACAACTCCAGACTTAGTAGTACGGAGTTTTATTCACTGAGAATTAAAAAAAAAACCAATAATACTTTCCCAGCCTGGGAATCGAACCCTTGACCCCTTGCCCAGCAGTCACACTTGCGACCACTCAGCTAACTAGGCATTACTCTGCCCCTGTTCTAAGAAACCATCAATAACAATTCCAATGGTACTTGACTCAAGTACAGCCGCAATACATGTTCATCTACGCTGACACCACTTGATAGTGATAAGTGACTATTCACTGACATCAAACTGGACTTTGTTCACCCCACCAATAAAAACACAGAATGATTTAAGTCAACAATTTATTTAATTGACAAACATTTGGACAACATCAATAATGGCATAGAATAGCTCCTATTTATTGTCAGAATATAAGTGATAACTTATATTTATTAACATTATTATTTAATTAATATTTTTTAACATTCCTTCAAGTTTTTATATTCTTCTAGAATAAACACTTGGCTTTCCTGGTACAGCAAGCCTGTCATTTATATCATATGGAATGTTAAAAATACATTTTTGGGAGTAATTTTTATTACGATCAGATGCTTAAAGATAGACAATTAGTAGAGAGATTAACACTGAGATACCATGGTTAATGTACATGCCTATTTATGTATTTTATCTAATAAATTTCTCTAAAATCAGTAGCTACACACTACCTACTTATTAATACATATTGCATAAAATCTTCACAATTTAAAATAATCTATGAAAGAGATTACATTTCACACAAAATGCACACAGTTTTGTATAGCCAATCTTCTCAAGTTCTCAGCAGACTAGTTAATTTCTCTAAGCATCTCTCCCGTTGTTCACTCCTCACCAGATGTTGCCTTGTGCTTCCATTACTTTAATATCACACTCTTGAGCTTAGTGCTGAATAAATTCCACATCAAAGCTTTACTTCTTCGAACCATACTCATGTACACAAATCCTCATAATTGTAGAGTTATTTTGTAAATATCGGTATAAAATAACTTCTAAAAGCCAGGTATAATTACATGAGGACATTTGAAAATATTCACGGCTAAAGCTGTCCAAACGTAAAATGCAATATTTTCTACTTAAATAAATATTTTTTGGGCGATAACACATACCCTTAACCGTATCTACAAACAGATACACAGGACTTGATTTTCTTTCCTTTAAGATCAGCTCTGCATTCTATGAATCATGCGTTTTTATTTCTATTAGCAACTTTTCTTATGTTCACATAACTGCTACAGAAAGAAACATAATCTGCACACAATGCGGAGTCACCTTCAAAAACTATTTTGTGACGCATAGTCACGAGATCATCTCATTACATCATCCCAGTAGAGATTCTATTGCACTTTGTCTCCATTCCTGGACACAATCTCCTGGATGCTGGGGTCTTTAACGGCGTCATCTGCGTCTGGTTTAACTTTCAATATGTCATCGACATCGACGCGCCTGCAGCTGCGCCCACGGTTTTGTCGGTAGGGTGCGTCTGCTCCCACTCCTTCAAATATTGTACGACAGCGGTGTGTCCGAAGGTCTCGGCCTCGTTAAGTGGTCGGCTGCCCCAGCGATCGCGAGGGTCGTGTGGGACTCCGCACTGAGCGAGCAGGAAGTCTACGCAGGATAGGTGACCCTCGGCAGCTGCCAGATGTAGCGCAGTGCGACCGTCGTAGTCCGACAGAGTCATGTCCATACCGGAGAGGTGGTGGCTGCGAACGATAAAATTATAAAGGTACAATATCTATCTTAAGTTAAAAAGTGCCACGCAGTGAAGGACTACCTACTTTGGCTTTCAGCTCAAACTAAACTAGGTACGTTACCGAATGATGAATAATTTACACTAGCGTCGTGTTATGAGCTGATCGTGAAGCATTTTCTACCCATAGAATTGTACTCGAGTAAAGTAGACATATAATAATTATAATAGACCCATTAAGCGCAACAATAAGCATAGGTGAGTACTGACTGAGTACATATGATACAACGTTCCTGTTGATATACTAGATAAGCAGGTACTCGTACTTGCTTAGTAAGTACTTGTCGAAAGCAATCTATTCGTTAGAGTTCACCGGTACGGGAAGAAGTTTCGGATCAGACCTTTGGCTGTTAAACAACAATAACTGATCAGCGAAAATCTTTAGTATAAATTAAAACTACCCATAATAAAAGTCATAAATACTAACCGTCGTAGAGCGCTAAGATCACCACTAGCAGCCGAGAACAAGAGGTTGACAATGTTGAGACCCGCAGACTCGAACTTGTACCGACGAGGATCCTTCTTGTGGCTGGCGTAACGAATGTTGTCGTACTTGTGGAAGTTGAACCTCTTAATCATGTCCTGGGTAATGAACAGAACACGAAATTAGTTATGAACAGATTCAATATTTGGAAACAAAACTAAGGTAATAAAATGAGTCTTACATCACAGAATTGCAAGCCTCGGCAACTGTTTCCCAGAGGGTCCAAAGGTGGTGACCATGTGCAAATGCCCATAACATTGGGGACAACTATGAGCATAGCACCAGATACGCCAGACTTTGCAGGAAGTCCCACTTTGAATGCAAACTGTCCTGAGTAGTCGTACATTCCACAGCTATGCATCAGAGAAAGCACGTTGCGTACCGAGTCGGGCCGTAGTACCTTTTCATCAGTGATGGGACAGATACCACCATTGGCCAGAGTAGCAGCCATAATAGACATGATGTCGCAGTTGGCTTCCATTGAGCAACACTGTAAATAAAGAAAATACAAATAGGTAGATATTAGATGTTACCTAATTAGAGAGCTCAAGGTAGTAGAAAAATAAATAAATTGTTTTGTACCTGGAAATAGAAGTCCATACATTCACGGAAATTAGTCTTTTCCGGATAACATTTATGCTCTCGCATGTAGAAGCCAAGTGCATAGTTTCTGTCGGCAGCTTCGCGTTCAGATAAAAATACTGCATTGTTGAAACCAAGGCTTTCGTTGCCTGCGAGCCGACTAAAGAACGACATGACGTAATCAAACTTTTCAGCGAGAGTCATCTCGGGCCGGTCCAAGGTCTTCAATAATGAGCATACTAGAATTGCTCCCGCGTTTATCATCGGGTTATGTGGCTTCACTGTGAAAATAACATGACAAAATTATTTGCATGCGAGCGACGTTGGCAGATGTTATTGTTGATTCTAAAAGTAGGTACCTAATTGTTTATGCACGTTAGATTCGTCATACTAAACCCACAAAAACAAATAGTATCGCAGGTGTAGGCGTTGTTGATACGTACTGTTATAATCCAGAACGAGTTCATTGAAGTTGCGGCCGCTGGGCTCCGTGCCAACATATTTGTGTACCACGTCGGGTCCTAGAGTTTCAAGTGCCATCGCGTATGTGAGTGGTTTGCTGCACGATTGTAGAGTGAATGGGACCGTCACATCACCTGTAAAACATTGGTAAACGGTTAAGTTACTGTTCACAAGCAATAGAGTTCAATATGCTTATGATTTATAGAAGAGTCTTACCGATAGAAAATCGTTGACCGTCTATAGTACAAATGCTGACACCCCAGTTTCAGAACTGGCTCTAGCGAGCTGCGGGATGTAGCTGGCCACTTTACCATCAGTGTTACTTTTGGCAGCCCAGTACATTTCTTCAACGTCTTTGATAAAATCTTGAAAGTCTGGAATTACGAATTGACTGCGGAACGCCCTCGTGATGAGGACGATGTTAGGTGCGATCACCTCTTTGAAGGTCTTCCTGTCTAGTTTCAATGTCTCCGGTGAACCGCCTTCAAAGTTGGACTCTTTGTGCACCTTGTATAGATTATGCATGACTTCTTTTACACGATTATCATTTTTCCTTATGCCAGTGGTCCTCAGGGCCTAGAAATATTATGGAAATAAGATAAGTAACTGAGTATCGCAAGAAATAACAGTCGAAGGAAACAGTAAACTTACGGCCAAAAACTTTCCAACGGGAAGGAGACCCGTGTCTTCATTCTTGAACATGTCAAATAAAACATCGTCAGCGTTCTTGTGCGGTCCTTCGCGCACCCTGTGAAGCAACAACATGGACATTAGATATTTATTTTGTGAATGTAATACCAATCATAAACAACATACTCGACTGAAAAAAATAAAACTTAGTAGATAAGATCAAAGTACTGATCTGTAAGTACTTGGATATAGAGTAATAGAGCAAGCAACTGTGCAGAACCAAATCTATAAGAACCTCGTATTGTAGGTAGGTCTATGTCTAGTTCGGTTAACATGTGAGTATAAATTACAAAACGTGTATATTTGTGACTAATATTGCCACAGCGTCACATCATGTGACATAGAACATGACTACATAAACCGAGATCATGTTGTCATTGTTACTGAGTTTTTAAATAAAAGCAAGTGAACGTCACCCAGGGTTCGTGTGGTAGGCAGATAGGTAGATAGATAAACATATCTACCTAGCAAGTCGCGATTGTTCACGAGTATGCAATTAGCACGACATAGTTAATAGAGCAATTATAATGTATTGGACAAATATTGTGTTACTTGTAATGTACACTGAGACGCCCCCGCGTGACGTCACGCGCTAATAATATCTGAAGCGTGACTACGTAGGACGGCGGGTGTGTCTGCGACGAGCAAACACCACGTCGTGACAAAGCTGTTGACCATCACCTGATGGCGATATATTTAAACACGGGACATGCTAAAAAACAAGCGAGTTCGACAAAAAATTTTGTAATTACATTTATGACGCAAGCGTTGCCAATTGGACAGCCAAAACATATGCAATAAACATTCAGAATTACCAATACGACGTAGAGATAAAAGTCACAAAATTTTTCAACATAACAAAAGTTTATCGCTATGTGTAAAAACAAATACCATAAGAACTACTTGGAAACTCGTCTAAAATGTCTACAAGTTTACCGATAGCAACAATGAGCTGCCTACTTAGCTAAACAAAATAACAATAGACCATCTTAATAAGATTCTACTGATCTTATTAGGATTTTCATAGCCAAACTAAGGATTCTATTTTATCGAGAACTACCTAAAGCCTTAACAAATATAAAAGCAAAACCAATACAAAAATAAAACAAGAAATTGCCTTCAACGTAAGACTACAAAATAATAAGGTGCTCCAAAGATTACGATGGTGTAAAGAACATGAAATAACCTTATAATATGAATTCAGTTCTGGAATCCACTAGCATTGTAATGTAGCGTCGGTTTTTTCTCGAAATTTAGTATTTAAATTTTGACAGTTTTAAAAGATAGGTGACTTAATAAATGTCTTTCAAAATAGACATCCCTCGTATGGGTATAAAAAACATAGGAAAGATATTTTTCACAACTAGTTATATGTTATTAATATGTGAACGAATAGAAGAAAGTCTACAGAGAAAGTTATTCGATATGTAGACATATATAAAACTATTATCTGACCTATTTTGTTAAGGATGATAGAAAGTTAAATTAACTCGTCGAGTACCGGTTTTATAGACACAATTAAAGAACAATAGGTCGCGGTCACCGGTGACCGCTTGGTGTTTGACAGTTTAAGTAATAGGTATAGTATAAAATGCCACATAAAATAAAAAGTCAAGGAAAATTCCCATGATGTTTTTGTGCCTTGTACTGAATAGATGCACTCGTGATATTAGGCAACGAAGTAGTGACAGGCTAATCAATAATAATAAATAGCTTAGCTTCTGATAGGCACACGACACAGATTTTTTTTTACAGATCATGCATTTAGCTACATAACCGGAAAAACCGACGATACATTTACTAAGGTGGTGAAATCTGGCTGGAAATTATTTTGCAGGAGTCCTGAACTGAATCCATAATACACAACAAAACAACAACGACTGTGGGACAGTCAAAATAAAAATACATAACCTAAATTCGGGAAGTAGCGGCTTTTACAACAAATTGATCCATGCAACACACTGTCAGGAGGCAGGCCTCAGTACTCACGATATGGGGTCGATGTTATGCACGAACGAGTACTGTCGGGTTTTGCTGCTGCCATGTAACGTGAACAAACAATAATGTAAGAATCTTATCAATACTACGCGAACTTATGAATCGTAGGTAACTCTGTTATCTGTCGCGACTGGACACAAAATGACAAATGACTGCACGCCTTACAGATTTATCTCACTATGAATTCATGTGTATTTTCAAGCAAATAGTAGATAGATTGAACAGTCAGTCCTACGCTACGTCTGTATTATTGCATAACTGCACACATGATTGTGGAAATGTTAATTAATGATTTTTAGTTGGCAATAAACTGCCGGTGCTATATACTTGTGTATACGTGAATAGTTTGAAATGTCAGGGGTGAATTGAACAAGTAGGTATCGGCGCCGGTCCGTTTAATATGAATCAATAGAAGTCGAAGTAGATTATTAACAGCAATTTATTTCCAATGGACGGGTGTATATTGACACTATTTCTGCATTGGTTAATAATAATAATAGTGCATATCATACCTCATGTCGAGGGACTGGACTGAATAGAAATGCGGGGCAGAATTGCGCCATTTCTGAAAAGATAACGTAGAAAAATGAGTCAGGAGTTACATATTTGACAGCTGTAACCCAGATTCCCAGAAACAGAGACAGACAAAAAAGGATCCCTCTGTCACCGTGGAAGTATAACACAAGGAAAAGACACTCACTTCAGGTTTTGATATAACATACACAGGTCTCACTTGACTATAGTGCCGATAGCAGGTGCAAATCGAGTGATTGGGTTTGGCAAGAGGGCGTGCGGCAACGAGCCGGCACAGCTGACGGGTGCTCATGGCGGCGGCCTGTGTGACACACTTCCCGAGTCCTGGCGTACGCACTTCGTACGGTAGCGGGCGGCCGCGGCGGCGTGCTTATGTCCGCTTCCGAGGCGCAGGCGCCAACTGACGGCTCCCCGCCCAGCGCACCTCTCGCTTATCTACTTGTTTACATTCAGTGTTTACATGACAGGTGACGCGTTACGTTAAATTTAATAATTCGTGGTAATACTTACACCTGAACCACGTTTTATATTAGTAATATGTACATAACTAGCTACGTAGTGGGAAAGACCCATATGGTGCTTAGTACATAAGAATTAGACACGTATTTATGATCTTATTAGCCGACATGATAACAAGCTATTAAATAATTTAGTTAAACCTAAAGATTAAAAAATGACGAAATTTTTGTTTTCCTACTTTATAATAACACAGTAATCACACCACAATATAGTCTTTGGGTTAATCAGATATAAAGCGTGCTGCAAAACCCTGTTGGGTTAGTTATTGCAATGAATTAAATGCAGTTAAAAACAGTAAAGCACATTGTTGCTTTCATCAAATTGTAGGAGCATATACGTTTCGTAGCAACACGAAAATATCGAGGAAAACTGCAGAATGACATCGATTATTTCCCTGGCCGTGCTAATAAAAAAAAAGAGAACTATGCGATTTAGTGCTCCATAGCAACAGACTTGTCGATCAATATGATGACAATAGTCCTTTCAACCGTTTCGTGAAATACGGAAAGTCGTAGCAATTCGTAGCAGTTCGTAGCAAAACGATAATGATTTAACAGATGGTTAGTTATGAAACAGGCATTAATATTCAGAAAATGTATATAATAAATAAATAATGTTACAATTGTCATTATTTTATGCCCTACGGCAAGGATTCCCAACATTTTCTTGGTTAAGGACACTTTTATATTTGTATTAGGTGATGGATCACTATTACTATTCCTTTTTTCATGTCGTCACGCTAAGATTGTATTCACACTAAGTATCTGTATTAGTTATATCCTTTGACATAGGTTTAATTTCAGCTTTAACCGTGATATTCGTTGGACAGAGGTATATTCTTTTTTCGGTTCGCGGACTATTTTATGTCTTTTCAGATGACTGGTGGTCCGCAGATCACCGGTTGGGAACTACTGTCTTATGTTAATTAAAATGCTTAAATATTAAAATAAATCAGTATTTGAAACTTCAAGAAAAGGTTACGTACATTCGTACATCATTAAAAGTTTAAAATTTGTACTTGAATTATTCGACTTGTAGTTTGTAAATTATTTAATTAATCTAACATTATTTTGTTTACATTAACGAAATTATGTTAAGCAGATTTAACATTCCATTTTGTAAAACGAAATAGTAAAAGTACTTCAAAAGAAATTATTGTCGTAGTTTTACTGATGCGAAAAGGAATAATTTTATAATTTTAGCCAACAATTTTTTGCAACTACGAAGGTAATCTTTTTCGTTATTTAATAATCGTACCAGGTTATTGTGGCTAAACTATTTTAGACCGGATTTTGAAAATTTCAAATAGTATTACAAGGTACTTATGTATGTTAGTATGGACAAACCAATAGCATTTTAGTATCGTCTAGTTTTAAAGACAGTCGTTATCTAGATAGGTATCTATATATCTCAGATATCTATATATCTCATGACAGTTTAAATAATGTCTTAAATTTTTTGTGCGTAATTTGAATTTCACCAAGAATAAATAGACCCGGAAATTTTTACAAAGTACTTTACTGCGGAAGTTTGCTTATTGATTTTATGAAAAAACATGACATTATCAACGCATGTTTGCATAGAGTACGGAGCAAGCATTGAAAATAGGAAATAGGTTAAATAGTCACTTCACCAGTGCTCAAGTATGTTCACGTAAATGGCCATATTCGAGAACAACGTAGAACACTATTTACTGAAAATGTCATTAATGTTCATTTAAATAATCTATGAAAATGTAACGGATGTCCAACTGTTTCAAAGCTTTTCAATAAACATTATTACAAGTTATTTTAATCGAAATGCAACCTTCAATTTGAGTCAATAGTTTTCTGTCTCAGTTTAAAAATAGTAGCCACACCAATATTCATATTTAAACAGCTGTTGATATAGATAACTCGAGGAGATAATGAAAAGCTTTCAGAGTATCCTTGTTACTGTTATTAATAAAAGTTTTTAGAGTACGTGAGAATTATAAAAGTTTTATTTAGAATCTGAATGTAGTTTCATGTAACGGTGATCATGACCTGAATTAATCGATTAGTTGAAAATAAAATCATGACTTAAAAATCGAATGTTTGATGTGGAATGAGGAAATTAAAAAATAAACATGTAATCACCTCAAAACTGTTATCACATTCCATCATAAATTCTTCGAAGCCACTGTTGTACAAGTAGCGCATGCCAGAGTTGCGGGACGGCTGCGAGGGATGCGTACGCGCCGTGAATTGCGAGAACTGAGCCGAATATCGTGCGAAATGCCCGACACTTCCGCGCACGACACACTGAGCCATTCTCCTTCTGTCTCCCGTTTATAAATATACTACATCTGGGAGTGCCAAATTAGTAATAGACGGGAACCTATGCCATCATATATTATCTAGTATACAATATATTACAAAACAATCACAATGTACTACTCCTAATAGTGTGTAGTAAAATGTAAATAATTATTCAAAATTACAAATAACCACAAATAACCTTGACGTTTTGTAGTGAAAATTATTTTCTTTTAAAAATAAAACACAGAACTCTTTTGTTACTCTTCCTTCGTTCATTTTCACGTGCAGTATACTAATCTATTCTTCTTTCTTCTGGCCTTTTCCCAACGAGTTTCAGCTTTTCATTATTTTCAGTGGACCATCTGACTACCACCATATTAGGATATTATGAAAGCCATGGCTACTTCGGATACTAAACTACTAAACATTTTTATAAAGAATGTTTTGATTGCGTGAAGTAAACTAAACGGCGACCACGTAGATGTAGTATTAAAAGAGCATTAAAGATCACTGGGAGGGTCGAAAATCACATGCGTCGGCATTTAAACTTACTGATAAGACTGACAAATGAAAAGTTACAAATGCAGCAATCTTACAGTCTATTTCTATCGCAATTATGTAAATGCATCACTCGTATTAATAACAAAATGTTTCGAAGTTCCTATTCCTGTCTAATAGGTACTTTGCTAGCTGTACCTATAGCTAGGTGTACAACTTTTAGATGATTGTAACACAGCTGTTTATTGTAATCCAGTTCAATACATGAATTTGTTTTATTATCAAATGTAGTGTTAGGCTAACTTTATGAGCGAACTAACTAAACTGTAACTTGTACATACAAACTGATTTAAAATTGAAAAATGTGAATGAACATAGGATAGAACTGGACCTAATACAAATTTTCTAATTGCCTTCGAAACAAATTGTAGGTATCAAAAGAAATTTTTGGCAAGAATATTTAAGTCGCCTAGTGTTGCTAGTCGTGTTGAGTGTCGTAGCAAACGTGACTAGAACGTATAGAATTTTCTAAAGCACTCATGTGACGACGACGTAGGTTTTAAAATATTTAGGAACAGCTAGCGAAACAGAGGAATCTGTAGAATTGTAATTTGGCTAGAAAATAAACAAAAAAACTAGTAGTATAGTTCATGAAACATATTAAATAATAATTCTCACACATTTCATTATAATAATTACATAATAATATCATAAGTTCTTACAATTAAACATAGAATGACAGTACGATTATCGACAACATGAATTTACTGTCGTTTTACAAAGGTGACTTCGACGGGCCCGTCGTTTCTCAGTACAACGTCAGTAATGATCCGAATGTCGTCAGGATGAGTGACCGGCTCCAGCACAAACTCTCGTAACACTTCTGCCACAGCCATCTTCATTTCCATCATGGCGAATTTCTGACCTGTTATGAAATGTTTGTTAATACTTACAATAAATATCATACACTTCACCAAAAGTAAAACTTTTATATCACACCTAGCTTCATTTTGAGTTTCGCTCCAAAATCGGGTAAATAAGTTTTTGCTAATTAAACCTATCATTCTCATTATCATTAATCAAACCTTATTCTTATTACTTCTTCTCGTTTGATTGATCGATTTGACTGCCTCGTTTATCGAAGAATCGCAAATTTCGCGTAGCAACCGATAAACAAATAACTAAGAAGATTTTTATTATTTCTGAATTCTGTTTAGGTAACACAGAGCAGTAATAAAATCGCCTGTTAAATACTTAAGCTATTTTGTTGTAGTAGGGAATTAAAACAAAATCATTCATCTACTCAGGAGTCATTTAAGATAACTTTACCAAAGTATGCTTAATTGCTTACCTATACAATTCCTAGGCCCAGCACTGAAGGGGATGTAAGCATAGGGATGCCTTCCAACGCTGTTCTCAGGCAGGAATCTGTCAGGGTCGAACTTGTTCGGGTTGGGGAACAGATCCGGTTGGCGATGCAAGTCATAGATATGTATATGGCAGAATGTTCCAGCTGGTACTAAGTAGTCACCTGGAATTAAACACCGGTCATTGGTAACAGGTAATATGTATAGCTTTCTGTGAGTGAGATTTCATTCGCGTTTGTCGTGTGCCTGAGTTAATAATAGTGTTACTGTAATTTTGTAGCAAAGCTAAACAATCTGTTCGTTTTCTTGAAGGCGCTGACTATTTGATAATCCGTATTCAACTTCACCATAATTACTTGATCAGCCGAGAATGTAATTACCTATTTAATGTTTATTGTCAGAAAGAGAATTTGACAAGTTAGTTGTTATAGTGCCTACGCACTATACGATCATACTACTATGTTCGAATAGTTCGATCATACTACTATGTAGAAATAATGAATATACGACGATACGATAATAATATAATAATATAGCCTTTTATTCAGATCCTTACTTACATTACATTACACTTACATTTAAAAGCAACTTAAAGTTAAAAATTAATCTATTATTTGTTGTTTGGTGATCATTTGCAGACCTGTTTGCCAATCGGCAAAGGCCTCCTCCAATCTTTTCCATTCTGTCCTTACTTGAGCCGCTCTGTTCTACGTCGCACCTGCCACCTCTTTGATGTCGACGACGATACGATAATGTATATTATTTACTTTTGAGATTAATTAGAGGTTTTTTAATCTTTGTTTCATAAGTAGTGCTTTTTTTAAGAGAAAAGCGTCAACCCCATTAAAGGATAGAAGATTCAATACGTACTACAATGAAGTAGTAAACCATTTACAGTAAACTAGCCCTTAAACATAAAATAATTAAATAATACAATTTTCTAGCCTCAGATGACAATGGTGACGCTTAAACACTGTGATAAAAACCAATATTAGAGTTTTTAAAACCAACACTAGTCGTAAGTTTTGTAATACTAACCAATCACAAACCATTGTTATCTGAATAAAAAGGTTTTATTCTAATTATTACATTATAAAATTACGGACCTGATACCTGCCTTAGAGATGTGCTGACAATAAAGCAATGTAATCATTACTTTGGAAAAAAAGCATAATATGTATATACGGTCGAATTAAGAACTTCCTCCTTTTTTGAAGTCGGTTAAAAATACGTTTATCCAATAGAATCTTTAAAGTAAATAAAAACGTTATCAAATAAAAACAACACTAAAATACGTGTGATATAAAAGTAATACTCATGTTGTACTTAATAATAATCACGATTTTAAGAATACTACCGGATCTAGTAACTGATTAATTGTACGTAATGATTACATTAATTACCTTGGTGTTTAATATCTGATAAGTAAACTATTCCTACAACATACTAAACATATTTTATTTGTGAAGATCAATGCGTTTATTTATGATCGTTTTTTTTCTATTCTATATAAATAAGTGTATTTATTTGTTCTTTTCTTTTTTAATTTTGTATATTGTGTATCTGTGTGCGTGCCTACTGTCGAATAAATGTTTTTTCTTTCTTTCTTCTTTCTTTCTATTTTTTCATAATATGTATTTTTAACGTAACCCACAGAGGAATATCAATTCTCTTATATTGTAGGTACATTTAGAAGCATTCTTCTTTAGCTGAACGTCACACTAAAACCCCCTTTCCTACTCCTGGTCTTCGAGTCGGAGGTTCAGCAACCCGATAGGCCTTCCGCGGCTCGGGCATGTGGCCCAGCTAAACGTCACACTTAGATTGGGATCAACAGTTTATGGATTACACAATTATTTCGGAAAATAATATACGACACTATTAGCCAGTGCACTACCGTAAAATTAACGTTTATCGTAAAATGGTCATGATTATATACCAATATTTACATTTATATAAACACATTATTACATACATTTGTATAAACTCGATACGGCATTTTATTCATTCTTAAGCAATTAAATGTACTTATATGATACGTCCTAAGGGCTCACTTATTTAATTATTCGAACTATGCTTTTTATGGATGGGTATGACCACGGCGCGACTATACTTTCATTAATAAATGTTTTACTTACTCAATATCACATCTTCGTGTAAGCTCCTACTGATAAAATGCACTGGAGGGTACAACCGCAACGATTCCTTAACACAACGCTCCAAATACTTCATCTTCGGTAAATCTTCAATTGTGATTGGACGTTTAAAATCTCCTAAGACTTCTTTCAATTCATCTACGATTTTGTTCTGCAAAAGTATTGGTCATGTCATAAAATAGAAAACCTTGGTACCTATGTATAGAATCAAAAAGAAGGAAGATTCAAGTAGTTAATTGGATTGCAGAACTTTAATTTGAAGTTAATGATATAGTTAATTCATAGTCCAAAGGTACATAGACAGGAACTTAGTGACGAAGAACCTAAACAAGTAAACTGTGGGTAAAAACTAGTACCAAACCAGTTACGAATATGGTAAAAAAACCAACCTGTGCATCTTTATGATGTGCTAACAGCATGAAGCAAAAAGTCAACCCACTCGCCGTGGTATCGTGACCCTACAAAACAAAATACAAATACATTATAACAACAAGTACAAAATACCTGATATATGTTTCTGTTACAATACAATGTCACAAGTGCAATCGGTCAGCGACACCACTTACTTCGAACATAAACGTGTCGACTTCTTCTTGCACTCCACTATCGTCAATTAATCCTTCTTTTTTAGCGGTAATTAATAAATCCAACATGGCAGTCTTCTTTTTTCTCTTGTACACGTAGTCATCTTCGGTTACATCCTGTTCTGGTACACCAAACTTATCAATGTATTCGGTTCTTTCCTGTATTACCTTCTTCGTGAAGCCATGCACTGTCTTTAGATACCCTTCCTGCCTCCTACTCAGTGGCGACAGGTTGAATATAAAGTCCACAAAATAGAATACTTTGATAAATCTTTGGTAGAATATGTATCCCAAGTTGTATATCGCGTCTTTGTATGCGTTCATCTCTGATGTGCTCAAATCACTCAATCGGGTGCCCATTGCAGTTTCTACAATCAAAACAAATGGTTATATTTGTCCTTTCACACAAAACCGTTATATGACAATTTTTTATAAAATACGAGATAAAGTAAGTTATTAATCTATGTGGTATTCTAGACAGGTAGCATGTTGCACTACACAGATCTTGTTTAGGGCGGGCACTAGTAAATTGCAAGTGTCTGATTCATAAAATAACTGATTACTCTTACCACAAATAGAACTGAGCGTGAATTCCGAAATGATAGGAGCTACATCTACTGGTCGACCAGCAACGTTTTTGAGATTTGTCACAAAGCGCTGCGAATTTTCTTCCAAAACTTGACAAAATTGACGCAAAATATTGAAATGGAAAGTGGGCGTCAGGATTTTTCTCCTCTCCTGCCACTTTGACCCTTAAAATAAGGAAGAATAGAATTACAATTTGATTAACCATTGAAAAGAGTTAAATCATAATGAAAATGCGGTCTTACCTTTGCTTACAAGTAAACCATCTTTTAGCCAAGGCCTCAAGACCCTGTAAACTTGACTTTTTTCATTGAACTTCATGCTTGATACTATTTTCTAGAATAAAAATATTTTTTTTTATTCTGCGTCTCAGAATCAGGGAATGCATTTGTAACGCAATACATACTTTATCTATGTCTAAGTACATAATTTTATAGGTACAATATAGTAGTTAAGAAATTACATACCTCAACATCATTGGCATTGTAAATATTCACAGCACCAAACGGCGGTATCCAGAGTCTATATATTCCAGAATTAGTATTTGCCAATTCTCTCGCCAAATCCATGAGAGCAACTGAAATGGTAGGATAAAAAATATGTATATAATGAAATATGTAAAATTTTTGAACATTTTTCATTATTGTCCATTGCACACACCAACAATTCGAACAGACGTCCATGTTCCTCGATTGTCGTAATTCTCAGTACGAAGTCTGGAGTGTATAATTCCAGTCTTTGTCAATGTAGCAATAAGGTTGCTTCACATTACAGGGCATTCCATAAAATAACTCGTTAAAATTGGATGTATGTGCGTAAATATACCTCTGTCTATGCCATCGATGAACAACTTGGAGAAATTATTCACACATCAACATAATTCTAGGTCAAGGATACTATAGAATATAGAAATAAAAATAAATTTTACCTGAGGATCGCATCACAGCAGGTCCATTTCCTAATATAAACGAATCCTTTGGACCCGGCATTTTTCTAATCTTCCTCGCTTTTTCATTGTAATTACATATTAAGTGCAAAAAACACAAAAACCCCGCCGTCAGAAATAAATACCAGAACATTTTTATAACGTCCACGCCCTTGGCCTCAAGTCTCTGTACTAAACACTTTATCACTTATTTATAAAATTAACCAATTGTGTCCATCTTGGGTAATCACTTGATAAAGTAATGATTTATCGTAGTACTTATTCTATTTTATTTCATGCTGTACTACAACATACACTGCATAGTCAATAATAATGGAGATACTAATTGTAGAACTGTATAACGTCAATTATATTTTTTACTAAACTCAAAGTTTCGTGCATACCCACACAAACGAATATAAATAAACGATCCATAAATAAAGCCACAGCAATATGTACCTATGTTACGAGATAAAAGTTTATTTATTTATCTTATCATTGTGTATCTAAGACTTAGATATCAATAACTACTGGACATTAGTAATTAGACTAAACTATTATGTGGCAAACACACGACTGAACACAAAAATATAGTGAGTTCCTGGTTGAACTAATGATAGGTGTTTAAATAATAATATATTTGCAGATATTTACATTGTTATTATTGCGGATTGCTCTAATAGCAGTTAAATGTTCAGATATTCTTATATCTAATTTCTTCTCAGAAATTGGAAAATTATTGACGATGACTGCCTCGTTTGTGGTCATAAATGCGACTGCCGAGCTGCCGAAAAGTCTCCAAATCTATTTATCGGTTCGGGCAAACCAACGTTTAGTTTTTTGAAAAATTCTCATAGGCTCATGCCCTATTTATTACACGGCATTCATTACATAAATGCATAAAATAGTGATAAGTGGTTGGCCATTTATATCTATGCATACCCGTTCGTAGAATAAAGACTATGTTACGGTATTGACAACTATTTTTACCAATTAATGAGTATGTAAAACGTACGGTTAAATGACCTCACTAGTGTAGGTGAATGTCACTGACAGTGTTGTAGGAACATTATAAATACTAAAGTATTTATTATGTTACACTTATGTGTGTATTACCATTTATGTGTGTGTATTGTCTATTTGACTTATTTTCATTTTAGTTCTTAGAACCAGTTGGGATGGGGTATTATTTTAGCGGTGAGGCAGTAGTTATTTTCATTTTTCGAGAATGCTTAGTAAGAGCACGACGCGAAGTGTGGCATGGTGTCTGGTGCATGGTAAAAGGTATACCCCGACTGCGTTCCTACGCAACGCTAGGAGTTTTGTAAGCAAACTCCACTTAATCCACTTTTTTCATCTTATTTTAGGGTGTATTTTAGGTATTTTTAATGTTGGCGTACCCCTTCAAAGATTAAAAGGTATGCGTTTTGTTATGTTTATTTTATTTTAAGTTTTTATATTACATTCTCTTATTGGATCAAAAGTTTTTTATTATCTTTGGCAGTGACTCAATGTGTGCCCGATAACACGACGTAACCTTAGTTGAAAGAGGTCCGTGGTTACACAAAGTACTTTGGATGTTTTCACAGTCCCAATACTCATTGATATTATATCTGTGTGACCGAAAATGAGACTAACGACCTTGACCTTAGAGATCATATTGAAAACATTTCAATTCATTTCATTATGGGATATTATACATTAATTATTAGATACAAATTCAACCTTTTATTATTAGATATGTATGTACCTACCTAAATAGAATTTACACGTGTTACGCTCTTAGGAACAAAAATCTTATCAAAAAGTTCACGATTAATTAGTTTTGTCTAAGTATTATATCATAATGTTTTATGTATCACAATTTATCAACTAGGAATTAAAAATGAATGTATCAATGTACTGATAAGGAGTACACGACGGTGCCGCGTGATACGACCCTAAACAATGACCTAGTATCAGACTTTGACACCAGACAACGGCGGATAACAACTAAAATTAAATATTGCAATTGATTGTGGGAGAACGGACTCATAAACGACGCGATGTTACATACATATTATAAATATCAGAACTTAAGTAAAAGTCTAACTGTAAAATAGTTAAGGAAATATAAATTAAAAAAAAAATTCTAAGAATAAAATTGTCACGATTCCATGATGATGATAAGAGATGCTATACATTCGTTTTTAAAAAAATCTTGGCCTCACACTAGAATCTGTGTCGTGCGAAAACTGACCCCGTGACACTAATATCTATAGAGGTAGTTAGGGCCGATTTTTCAATTATCTGTTAATTCTTAACTGTAGAATAAAATGACATTTGACAGTTTTTAGTTAGAAGGAATTGTCAAATATTCAAAGTTAGGTTTTCCTCAAATAAGAACTCAGTGATGATTGAAAAAATCGGCCCTTAGGCTAACCATGCTAGTGTTGAAATACAAAAAAATACAAAAACCATGTCGTCTGAGAGATATTAAAATTTATTTTTTATTATAATTAATTATTTATTTTATTTTGAATAGTTCATAATAATTACGCGTTTAGCTAATACACCATACAAAAACACATGTATGTAACACTCTTTATAGATAGATTAGGGTAAAAATAAGCATTAATAAATAGATTTCAGACATAATATTTACTTGTAACTGATAAATACAGCCTTATGAATATTTATTTTAAAACCTCTATTATATACGAAATCTTAACTATTTCTATTTCTAAGTACAGTCAGCCAAGTTTTTGACATTTAGGTTGATGCAGTACAGAGACAGTTGTTATTGTTACACTATTTTTTTTATTAAATCTTTGCCCCCCGTTTTCGTTTGTCGTGGGTGCGTTTACAAACATTCAAGTTTACATACACATCACACCCAGACCCAGAACAACAATCTGTGGATCACTCAAAGAGTTGTTCCATGCGGGAATCCAGCCCTGCCCTGCCACCGCATCAAGCGTGCAGTCAATTGTTTTTTAACAATAAGCCATTTCTTCTTTTTATTTGTCTTTTATAATGGGCATAGTAATTACTGTCTCTGTACTGATTCATCTTTATTTTCGTACCTATATGTCAAAAAGTTTGGCTGACTTATCGGTAAAAATTAATAATCTATATCAATTCAAAACCTTTGAATGAAGATCGATTTTGGACATCAATTGTATGGACGTTCTATCAAAAATTTTGATAAGATTACGTTATTTATTTCTAGGATTAATCTAATAAATTTAAGGCTTTTATTTATTGATTTCTCTTGACAAATTTGACACGGACTGGTCCATTGTTCCTAAGAACGAGATCTGCAAGGAATACAATGTCAGATTGTTTTGTCACCGGTTTTAGTTCAAACTCTCTAAGAACTGCTGAGGCAGCTATTTTCATTTCCAATATGGCGAATTTTTGGCCTGAAAACATCACACCAAAATTATTGTCATTTTATTTCTCTTATCTGTATCAATTAGTCAATTCTAAATCGGTCAAAGGATGATTAAGATTTTCAATTTGTGGGGTAAAGGTTGAGCATTGCCATCCAACGCGGCAATGCTGCCAAAAAAAAAAATGTTCTGTAATAGCATCGCGTGCGAAACGTACATTTACCTGGTTTTTTTCGGAGTTGTATTGTACATAACTGGTGGTGAACTACTCACACTACTATCTACATTTTTGGAAATCAAAAAGTGTAACAAGATGTTACTGTACCTATACAATTTCTGGGTCCAGCACTAAACGGTATGTATGCATAAGGATGTCTTCCTTCACAATTTTCTGGCAGGAACCTGTCAGGGTCAAAGACTTCAGGGTTCGGGAACAAATCCTCGCGATGATGCAGGTCGTATATTGGTATGTGACACAGTGTACTGGCAGGTATTGTGTGATTACCTGTAATAAAACAAAAATAAACATAGAATTTATTTAATAAGTCTGAACCGCATATCATGCCATCAACAATGTCGTTCGTTTTGGCAAACGATTTTCTACAGAGTGGTTAAATCATTCTGAATACTATACACGTATACTGATATTTCCTAACATAAGAATCCAAAATCTCGCTTCTATTTCAATTGGAATACCAATATAACTGCCATTTCTGTCTAAAACCTAAAGTCTGTGGTATTGTAATGATTGTAAATCATCATCGTCAGCTGGAATACATCAACTGGTAAAAGGCCTAGATCTCCGAAAAAATAAGGATACTGCTACTCATCACACTATAGTAAGCGGCAGTTTTATAGCCAACTCAGTTAAAAAGAGTAGATTATAGGTACACATATATTTCAAAGTTAGGAAAAGTGATGCTTTCCAAAAATTGTACATGCAAAAGAAGACATACTTAATACTGTCTCGTCGTTCAGTTTCCGACTAATGAAGTGCACCGGCGGGTACATACGCAGTGACTCCTTAATACACCGGTCTAAGTACTTCATCTTTGGCAAGTCGTTCATGCAGACCCAACGTTGCGAGTCTCCGAATATGTCATTGAGTTCACTTACAACTTTGTCCTGTAATTGATAATCAACATTATCATTTAAGTCGATGATCGCACGTAGGTACTTTGTTAATCATTTCAAGGATTCTAGAACATGTTTTTAAATTGCTACTCATAAGTGCTTCTGAAGTAGGTATTTAACAATTTTCGGTCGTAGATCCCTTGATAATGATAATGTATCAAGGAATTGCTATGGAAAAGTTTGTTAATAAGTTAGTAGTAAAGAACCGAGCCTATTATACTCTTTACGTATCTATCTACGTGTGTTAGGTACCTAAAAAGTGTGAAACTAAGGTGTCTCGGTGCATGCAAAGTTAGCATTGCATGAACATACAAAATACATTTGTACCTCTAATGGTCCACTGACCTGAATTTCTGGATGATTGGCGAGCAACATAAATAAGAAAGTAAGCCCTGATGCAGTAGTATCGTGTCCCTGGAAATAACATTACGTTCCTGTTAATCATTTAGTTTAATTCTGTTCAATGACGTTCATGTGACGATAGACTTACTTCAAACATAAAAGTATCAACTTCTTCCTGTACACCAGTTTTGTCAATGAGCCCTTCTTGTTCTGCTGACAGAAGGAGGTCTAACATGGCAGTCTTCTTCTTCTTCTTGTACACATAGACCTCATCATCGTCAACATTCTGGTTGAACATATCAAAACCATGTTCTTTCACATATTCTCTTCTTTGTCTTATAACTTTTTCAGTAAAGCTTTGTACTGTTTTCACAGCTTTATTCTGTTTTCGTGCGAGTGATGTAGCATTGAATATAAATTCAGGGTATAAATAAATTTTAATGAATCTATGATAAAATATGTTTCCGAGATCATAAATCGCTTTTTTGTACGTTGTGGCCGTCGAGTGTTCATTTAGTTGAGTGCCCATTGCAGTTTCTGAAATGATTTTTCTCATAATTTAGTTTTGATAGCGTAAAAAACGCTTAACTATTTTATTATTAATTCAAAAATGTTTCTAATTATAATATGATTTAAACACAATAGGCTCACCCCCTATTACATGGAACTCATAACATAAACAGTGAAAAGTGAATGTTAAATTGTACATTGGCATTAAGTGCCGTTATGTGCGTCACTGCCTACCGCTTCAGGGATAAAAGGCGTGATATTATGTTATATTTAAACAGAAATTGTTTTGTGTTATCAACTGGCGCCTTTTATTTTGGGATCTTTGACATCACGGCTGTGTATAGACCTATTTTTACCCACTAATTAAGGAGGCATCTGCTATGTTAATTAATCGTATATTTATTGTGATAAATGACCAATTAAATTGTTAGTTAACAGGCAGACATTGGGTACCTATAGTTATTTTCGCTGTAGTTGCGTCGCAACCTATCTTCGTATCTACTAGTACTACTTCGTACCGACTTTATAGATAAAACATTCACATTCTTCAAATATATTTACAAACCTGTGTCGTGTGTGTGTGATGTGTAGATCCAACACATCAAGCTACCTTTGGGGGGGGGGGGGATTATCTAATGACTTCTCCCGTTTTGGGTGACTAATGACAGATTTTTACTGACTGAAAATCATCCCGTTCTTTCTCCTAATTAGAACTGAAGCCCTGGGGCTTCACCAGCTATCCGTGATGTGACGGAACGTGACCAGGTCATCCGCATCACCGGACATCAAGGTATTTGTAATAAGGTCCTATCTTATTATTAAGAATAGATTTTATTAAACACTAGCTTCTGCCAGCGGCTTCGCCCGCGATCCCAGGGGTAAAATGCCTATGTATCAATTCAGACCATAATCTACCTCTGTTCCGAATTTCATTCCGGTCCCTTCAGTCGTTTTAATATAACTGAGTAACAAACATACACATAAACTCACATATTTTCATTTATAATATGGAGTCAAGCTAATTTCAACCATTGGCCTTTCAGTTACAGCGTAAAGTCTATGAATGAGTATTGTAAACGTTAGAGTAGACAAATACAATCAGGAATCACCGAATTGCTAAGCTATCGGGAGTTTCACGTGTTATTGTGAGTCAACCATAAAAGATAGACATGTGCTGTCGAGGAATATTTTTTATATAATTTTAAGGAGAATATTTCCGTCATATATGATTTCTATGCAGCTTTAACATACAAGCCTGCACACGCGACGGAAGTTTAAAAAATGGAGTAACTTCTTCCGGTTTGCCAATATTTCCCTTCGCTGCTCTGCTCCTATTGATCGTAGCGTAATGAAAAGTATATTATAACCTGCCCAAGTGTATGAAGAATAATTGTGCCAAATTTCGTTAAAATCCATCGAGTAGTTTTTGATTCCATAACGAACATACAGACAGACAGACAGACAGACAAAAATTTTACTGATTGCATTTTTGGCATCAGTAGCGATCCCTAACCACCCCTTGATAGTTATTTTTTAAATATATTTTATGTACAAAATTTACCTCTCTACAGATTTATTATAAGTATAGACTAGCAGCTTCACCTACGTGGAGTTCAAATTTGACTGAGCCTGATAAACCTTGATACCTTGATTTGTACTATTAAATATTTGCTCACCACAGATAGAATTGAGTGTGAAGTCAGAAAGTATAGGCACTACATCCACGGGTTGTCCTGCTGTCTTCTTCAGCTGATCTATCAAACGATGAGTGTTCTCTTCTATGATGACGCAGAATTGACGCAGAATGTTGAAATGAAAGGCCGGCGTCAATATCTTCCTTCTTTCTTGCCATTTTATGCCTGGAATGGTGACATTATTTGTTTAAAGTTGGTTAAGAAGGTGTTTGCTTTTTTCTACGGTAAGTCTTATTGTCTCGTTGGTTTTTTTGTCATAATACTTCTGTTGCTAATCTTATTCTTAAAAATATTCTTAAATCTTAAAAATAAATTCTAGTGAGTGACATTACGATTTATTCATTTAAGGACAACCTTCTACGTTGATACAGTTTTGTTTGTTTTCCCACATCAAAATGTGTAAAAAGCAAATCAAGTGATATTAAAATACGGTATTTTTAAAGTCTCACTATAAATAAAATCTGCACGAGGTGCTCTTTATTTCTTTTTATTGGTAGGTTAGGTACATACATTCATGTTATTTAAGTTTTACCAGTAGCCAGTACCTATATTTCCGTATATACATTCACAAATGTGACAGAAGTACAATAATAAACCAAATTAAGCAACTTCTCAAGACGCGGGTGTTTGTGTCCGTAAAATTTTCGTAAATTACATTCTTACATACAACTTACGTATTATAATACCACCATGAAATATTAGAGACATTAAGTTTAGTATCTTTGCTACTTAAAACATTCACATTGTATTAATCAGCCCCCAAGGCTGTTTTTAAATGAAATACTCTAAAATGAGAATGAAGACGATGATTCAGTTTCTTACTATCTTAAAATGCTCTAAAACCAACCAAATAAATATGAATTTGTAAAGACGAATACCAAATAATACATAAATAGTTGAAAATATGTACAAAGTACTATACCATTGCTTAGCAAAAGTCCATCTTGTAACCACGGGTGCAAAATTTTGTAAACCATACTTTTTTCACCGTACTTCATACTGGACATGATCAACTGAAAGATTTTGAAGTGTTAAATTGAATCATATTAATATTAAATAATAGCTCAAGGCAGTTCTAAAAGATGTAACAAATCATCTTTTAATTGAAAAGCTATGATTTCCCGAAGTTCAACATTAAGAGATGTGTGTGGCACTTTACCGAGAAATTAAAAACAAGACTTCATTTTAAAAATTAGAAAAATTTTTTTTTTGCAAAATGCTGTTTGCACATCATAAGTTTATGGAGTCATTTACTGCAGTCGAAATATTTAAATTTGGAATTGGTTTATGTTAATGGACTCGTGTCTCTACTGTTATCTAAGATCAACAACTAAGGTGATCCGTATTTGTAATTTAAACATAAAAATTTTTTTGGAATAGGTACATGTTTTTTCAATTCAAAAGATATTTTCTCTAATACAGGGGCTCATAGCATCTTCTCCTAATCTTTTACTATGTATGCATGCATACGTATTATTTTATGAATAGAAACAGTACCTACTTATATTTTTTTTGTTACCTCAATATCTTCAGGGTTATATATAATTACAGCAGAGAAAGGGTACACCCAGATCCTGTATATTCCTTTCCATTTCTTGGCGAAGGTTCTTCCTAGTTTCATTAATTCCACTGCAATAAGAAAATGAAATACAAATTATCATTTTTAAATTAACTTTTACAAACACTGAATGCATGTTAGCTTAGTGGTTGGGTGGCCGGCTTCTGCGCAACGTGTCAATGATAATCAAAAATATGAATCGCTAATGTCAAGTCTAATTAAAAGTAATTCTAATAGGGTAATACTTAGTTCTTATTATTAAATTTTAAAAAAATAGGTACCTACCGAAATAAAATCGGAGTCTAATATTAATATAATCTGCAAACATGCAGGCAGAATTTTTATTTTTGGGTGAATAAAGTAAAAGACTAATATTTTTTAACAATGTTTACTTAATTATCACGTATTAAAATTTATCACGAATTGTGTTTCTTTGATTAGGCATTAAAATAATTCGAGCTAACTTTTCTTAGATGAGTCAGAAGTAAGTATTCTTTATTAATTATAATATTTGATAACAAATATTCGTATAATATTCGATAACAAAATAATTATACACAGTCTTAATGAACGCGAGCGAAGCGAGATTAAAGAATAACAATGAATGATCTGATAAAATAGATACCGCTCTTAACTCAATTAAAACAAAGCCACTATAAATATTACCTGGATCACAGATAATTCTAAATGCATTTCCTACAATAAAGTCATCCTTTGGTCCAGGCAGCTTCTTGATCATCCGAGCTTGCGCATTGTAATTCAAGAACAAATTTAGAACACCCAAAAGTACCGCCACAACACCAAAATACAACCACATTTCAATAACGTCCTATCTGATATACTGCACAAAAAAGACTGATAACTCCCAGAATACGTAATTATGTAGTAACTTACTAAGTTCGGTTCGTTTCATATTTTATATATATGTATGTGTATAAAATAAACATATTTACGCATATACACAATGTATTCAATACGAATTTTCTTGAGAAAATGTTGAAGGACTTTCCTTGGTAAGAAATTAGGAAAATTTGAATAAATTAGCTTTTGAGCCGTAGTTGTGTACCATGTGTATGGTAGTTTTACTGGGGCTAAGGTTTAATTACTGAAGTATGACCAATTTATAGCAAATATATCGATAAAATTTAAGTGAATTTATGTATACATTAATACCAAATAGTAGTATATAACAGAAGAGACTTGAGATACTATTTATATATATAGAGGTACTATATGATATCCTCGTGCTTCAAGTAGGTATTTTTCCTTTCAAATTATGAGTAACTTTATGACGAATCTTTGCCTCAAATCCGATGTAAATCACTAACTAAACCCAATTTTAGGACAAACTAGTTCTTTCCATTAACATCAGTATAGTTTCATCAGTGGTTTGTTCTATACACGAGAAGAGCACTGAACGTATATAAATACATTACATACACACAACACCACCCTATTAATTAAAGTTATAGACAACTCACAATCACTTAATTGCGAATTACTATTTGCTTGGCCTTCAATTACATACATATGCCTTCATTCATATACATATTAATACAAAAACAAAAAACAACAATTCCTTAATATTTATTAAAAAATATACACAAAAATACAGTCTATGATTTTGTTAAATAAATCACTCTCGTTTAATAAAGTTTACGAGCACTGGACCATCGTTTCTGAGTACTAAGTCAGCAGTGAATGTGATGTCACAGGGACGCGTGACGGGGGACAGGTGGAACTTCCTCAGCACCTTCGCGACCGCAATCTTCATTTCCATCATCGCAAACTTTTGACCTGAAATAATTATAACACATTAATTAAATAAATAACACGCTGATAATGTGGTTATCGTGAGAATGATAATGTTGACCGGTTCGAGAAAGTGTTTTCTACTTTGGCATTGAGATTCAACGTCACAATTATAAATGGATCAAATCTGTACAAATATAGTTTAGTTGAGTATTGATGACTAAACTTATTCATACACATCCCAGCGGCAGTGTGACCAAGACTTAAAATGTCGCCAGAATGAACACAAAGCGTGGCGGAAAGATATTGTGACTATACAAGAAAAAGATTAAATACAATGAATTGTATAATTACCTATACAGTTTCTAGGTCCAGCACTAAAGGGAATGTATGCGTATGGATGTCTGCCGACACTGTTCTCCGGTAGGAACCTGTCAGGGTCAAACTCTTTCGGGTTCTTGAATAAGTCAGGTCTATAATGCAGGTCTAAGATCAGAATGTGACAAAATGACCCTGCTGGTATCGTGTAATTACCTAAAAATGAAGATCACTATTAGTACTGAAAATAATAAGTAAGAAAAATGTAAACTATATGTACGTACTTAGTACTGTGTCCTCATTCAAACTACGACTAATAAAATGTACTGGGGGGTAAAGTCGCAAGGACTCTTTGATACAACATTCTAAATATTTCATCTTCGCTAAATCTTCCATCTTAATGGGCCTGTCCTCATCACCAAATATGTCATCTAGCTCTTGAATAATTTTATCCTGAAATATTATTTCATTATGAGTTAATGATAAGTAGTAACTAATAAAATTATATTTATCATTTTCAATTCAATATTTTAGATAGGATATCGATTGGACTTATAAAACTGACCTGAATTTTCTTATGATTAGCGAGTAACATAAAACAATATGTCAGGCCGCTAGCAGTTGTGTCATGACCCTGTAAAATGTAAACCACATTTACATAAAATAGAAAGTTCCACTGAAATTTTTTCCAGAAGAAGTTCAGAATAATAACTAACCTCAAACATAAAAGTGTCCACTTCTTCTTGCACGCCGATCTTATCAATATGTCCTTCTTTCTGAGCGGACAGAAGTAAGTCTAACATTGCAGTTTTCTTCTTTTTCTTGTAAACATACGAGTCATCGTCATCAGCCTCAATTTGTTCATTAATGTCGATGCCATTCTTCTCGATGTATTCTCTTCTTTGTTCTATTACATTCTCAGTAAAACTGTGCACAACTTTCAAATGTTTATTTTGCTTTTTTCCCAAAGGTGATAGGTTGAATATCAAATCTGGATACAGATATACTCTTACAAATCTGTCAAAGAATACAGATCCGATGTCGTAAATAGCTTGTTTGTACGATCTGGCAGTGCTGTTATCGTCCCTTAATTGCGTGCCCATTGCAGTTTCTGCAACAACAATGATATTTTAATTCATATTGAAGAACACCCGTTTAATTATATTTTAAATATCATATAAACAGAGCCAGATGCTATTTGCTACAATTTGTGAATAATGTAAGACATAAATATCTCATTGTTTTGAATACGAATGAGACAAATTGCTCGTCCTTTATTCTCATTGTGACGAAATGAAATCTTGTTCTTGTATTTGTCTCATCAGAATCGTCAAATATTTAATAATAAGAACTATTAAAATTCCTAATGTCAATAGAGACTCGAGTATCTGACAAGAGGGTTAAATAGCAGATAACTTAAGGCAAAGTTCACTTAGATAGATCTACTTCTATGTTCCCGGATCTTGACAAAAATAATTTCAGTTTATTTTCTCGTATATGGACGTAATATCACACATTGATGTTACGCCCGTATGCCAACGAGTGTACCAGTGTCGCTCGAGAACTTATTGATTCAAATCTTTCTGATCCAAAAAGTCCAAAAAAGGTACTGGATTTTGACCAATACCAATGAAATGCCAAATGACACGATTGTGACGAACGTATTTTGTTTCATTTACATCTTTTATCGATTACGTATGTTGTCCGATTAAGGTATACAATGGGTATACGCACCACAGATGGAGTTAAGGGTAAACTCTGAGAGGACAGGCACCACATCGATGGGTTTCCCTGCAGTCTGATGCAGCACTTCTAGGAACCTCTCGCTGTTCTCATCTAATATCTCACAGAACTGCTTCAGTATATTGAAGTGGAAAGCTGGAGTCAAAATCTTCCTGCGTGTCTGCCATTTTTCTCCTATTAAAGTAATTTTGAAACCATTATTATAGAATGCCTCGTTCAAGACAAAACAATGCTGCTGATCTATTCGGAGTGATAGCCAAAAGGTTGTCAAACTTAACCTTTTTTTAACCCTGGGATTTGACCCTTTCATTTTAATAATGAAATATACATTTTATAGTTACCGTTACTGACGAGTAAACCGTCTCGTAGCCAAGGTTTCAAGAAATTGTAGATAGAACTTTTATCACCGTACTTCATACTAGACATAATTATCTGAAAAAAAAAGTTTTAATAATGTATTTATTTGTACAACTCGTCAACTAAACTATAATGATTTTAATAAATAAAGTCACTACCTCAATGTCCTCAGGATTATAAATAAAAACTGCACCAAATGGATATATCCACACTCGAAAGATTCCATCGAATTGACTGGCAAGCACTCGTCCATTTTTCATTGTCTCAACTGTGTAATGAATGAAACATAGGTAAATGAAAATTTAAATTACATACGAATTGCCATCATTTTCTTTAAAAATCCCTTTAATAGCAATAATGGATATAAATCTAATGAAGTTAAAGTTGGTTATTCCATCGTCATTGTAATATTATTTGAATGGATATTGCAGTGTAACTTGAAACCAAAAAAAGCAATTTTACAGCTAAGTTACGTTAAAACTAATTTATAGTTGTAATGGCTTTATGAAGGCATCACCAAAGTCTAGATCTGTAAATTCATAAATCGTTCAGAATTTAACAAATTGTTATTGTAGTTATCTTCTAACAACATTTTGTTGTGTTTATCATTATTATGAAAAGGTTATGTGGCAAAGGTATGTGTGTTATAATCCAACTGGGTGAACTCCAGTCGCCAAGCACCACGGAAATTTTACTAAAAACTAAGTGGGTCCTATGTGTGAGCTGTTATACTTGCTTCCAAAAATAAGTATGGCAATTATTTTACCTCTAGTATGTCTCACGAAAGTTATAACATTATGATTCGTACCTGGCGATCGTATGACAGTCCATCCATTACCAACAATGAAATCATCTCTAGGCCCGGGTAATTTTCTAATCATTCGAGCTTTTTCATTGTAGTTTAACAAAATGTGGATGATGCACAGAAATATAATTATTCCTAATAAATACACGAACATTTTGAGCAACGTCCTAGTGCAGTAATGTTTGAAGTACGACTGATAACAATTGAAGTATTAATTCTATAAAAAAAATTATCAGCATACACGAAATACTCCAATATTTTGTATATCGTGTGAGATAAAGATGAAAATAAATATATTTTTAAGTCGTAATTAGTTATGTTAGGTGAATTAGATCAGTCACTATATCAAGTTAATTAGGTTGGGTTGTAGAGTGCAAGACAAATAAAACTGTTGTTGTGGTAGTCTATTATATTAGATTAGGTCCTACACGTAAATAAACAAAGATTATGACAGTAATCGGCACAAACAATAATATAATATTGAAATGTTATGAGTGTTTGTGTTTACGTAAAACGATATATAGGTAAGCACGACATTTTTAGACCTCAAGTGTAAGTACAAATATAGAGCAAAATATAAAAAAACTAATCTTGTTAAGTTAATGAAGGTTACTAATAACTATAACAATATAAAACGTTTAAGTAATAGATAAATAATGATGAGAATTAAAAGGTGATGAATTGTGGTTTAACCGTAATGCTTAGGCTACACTAAGCACAAATCGCAGAGGATTTTAAATGCGCGAGTTTTGTGACACAAGAAAACAAACTGTATTTGTCTACAACAAATAAGTACTCGGACAGAAGACAGACAGAAGTGCAGCCAGTGTAGATCCTTATAAACTTTCACATTTATAATTGCGATAAAATTAATAACATTTCTATAATTCCAATTACACAACACATCCGTAAAGATAACCCTGTTATATATCCTTGCAATGATAAAATAAAATGTAATGCTAAATTTTTTGATAAACTTTGGACTTTACATGTTATTAATAATAACATTATTTGCTTAGGTACACCCAGTTTTAATTCATTGAATTTTTCTTCTGTCTGATTTAATGTGAAATGTGAAAATCGTAAGAACGAATAAATGAAAGTAACTTAAGTTAAATAATTTCCTTTCAAAATTAACTGTATGAATCTACATATTATTACGTCATAAAAGCTGCTATTTACTCGGCGTATAATAAATATCCAGTGTATTGAAATAAGGTTACCATAGCTTTACCTTCCTTAAGATGAAGAAGAAAATAGTGCACGTAAATCTACGAAATGTTCTTTATTCTTCAGTGAATGGTGAAATAAATAAAACAAATAAGTTTAATTCTTATATTTTTTAAACCTACATGTTTATTTCATAACAAAGCAGTCCTTTACATACAAATATAGTTAAAATACGTTATGATTATTCAGTTTTATGATTCTCGTTTGATAAAATTGACGAGTACGGGACCATTATTCCTGAGTACCAAGTCAGCAGTGAATGTGATGTCACAGGGACGCGTGACGGGGGACAGGTGGAACTTCCTCAGCACCCTAGCAACCGCTATCTTCATCTCTATCATGGCGAACTTTTGACCTGAAACAATGGTTGATATTTCGTTTTAAAGTACACTAAGGTCGTTGAGGACATCAATTATAAACCCTGATAAAGTACTTTTATCACATTTGTCTACAGATTAGACCCAGATTAAGAACATTGATTATTAAAATCTATATTTAGAGTCTGGCACGTGCCTGAATTATATTGTACTTCAAGTAAAACTAGCTACCAGCTAGTTAAGTTATCAAATACCGTTCAAACAAACCTAGAAACTCTACACAAATATAGACTTATAATATACCTAAAATGATCGAGGTACGTGAGATGCTATTTTGGATTTCGTTATTTACGAGAAGTCTACCAGTGATCGTGAACAGAATAGAAAACATGGTAATCATTAACATAGATAAGTATCTAAAGTTAAGAATCAAATTTTTGTAGTTACCTATACAATTTCTAGGTCCAGCGCTGAAGGGAATATACGAGTACGGATGTCTGCCAACACTATTCTCTGGCAGGAACCTGTCAGGGTCGAACACTGTCGGGTTCTTAAACAAATCTGGTCTCAAGTGTAAGTCCGAGATCAAGATGTGGCATAATGTTCCTGCCGGTATCGTGTAATTACCTGAAAATTTATAAAAATGTAGTAAAACTATTTCCTATCAAAAACCACTGGATTTTAGAAGTATAGAAACTTACTTAGAACTGTCTCCTCGTTTATATTACGACTAATAAAATGCACAGGTGGGTAAAGCCGCAAGGACTCTTTGATACAACAATCTAAATACTTCATCTTCGCTAAATCTTCCATCTTAATGGGCCTGTCCTCATCACCAAATATGTCATCTAGCTCTTGAATAATTTTATCCTGAAACATTTTTAGTCGTTAATTTATTCTATCGATGAATATGTTTTGTTTGAAATACGAGTACATTTGTTGTATCATTTCATGGAACAGTTTGTGTGCAACATTAAGAACTACGGTTCATGAATTAAGTTCAGTTACCAACCTGAATTTTCCTATTATTAGCGAGCAACATAAAGCAATATGTTAGACCGCTGGCAGTGGTGTCGTGACCCTGGAATTATTAAACCAGAATATAATACAATGTATCGATAAAGTTGCACATCAGAACATTTTTTTTAGTAACGCTAACCTCAAACATAAACGTATCAACTTCTTCTTGCACGCCGATCTTATCAATATGTCCTTCTTTCTGAGCGGACAGAAGTAAGTCTAACATTGCAGTTTTCTTCTTTTTCTTGTAAACATACGAGTCATCATCATCAGCCTCAATTTGTTCATTAATTTTGATGCCATTTTTCTCGATGTATTCTCTCCTTTGTTCTATTACATTCTCAGTAAAACTGTGCACAACTTTCAAATATTTACTTTCTTTCCTTCCCATTGACGTCAAATGGAAAATAAAGTCTGGATACAGATATACTCTAACAAATCTATCAAAAACTAAACATCCGATGTCGTAAATAGCTTTTTTGTACGATCTGGCAGCGCTGTTATCATCGCATAATTGAGTGCCCATTGCAGTTTCTGAAAGTAAGTTTATACAGTGAAACGACTATATTGAAGCAGTGATTTTTATACCACGACGGTGGCAAAAAAGCATACGGCTCGCCGGTCTGCCGGTGGCCGGAGATCGCGAGACGATACTGTAGGTGCGGGTCTGCGGATGGTGAGCAAGGGTAGCTCGCCACCCGACCAGAACCATACCCGTGCGTAAGGCGCGTCGCGTTCCGCGCGTGTCTCAAAGAGCCATCAGACCACCATAGATGGGGCCCAGTGGGGCTGATGCCCAATACGGAGCCGCGGAAGGCCTAACGGGTTGCCGGGGCTCCGGCTCGAAGAGCAGTAGTAGGAAAGTACACTCCCTCTCGCCAACCCAAGGCGGGAGAGGTCATTGGATGATTTTCCCCACTCAAAAAAAGGCTACTTAAATGTCGTGTCATCTCTGTCATTTTACACTAAAATAATGTTTAGTGAACTATACTTAACCGCGACTTAAAATTATATGGCGTTTGAGTATTTGCATATTGGACAACTAGTCCAAGTCCAACCATTAAGCGGTATAGTTACAAAGGTAGGTCTGTAAAGTTCTAGGCGATAAGCTAGGTTTGCTTATCTTCTAATACTACTACAATACTATCAATAGTTATAAAATTTCCTATGAAAAGACTATTATCTAATGTTTAGCAATACGGCAAAGCAGATAACGTAGGTAAGGCAAAGTTCATTTCTTTTAATAAATGCGTAATTACAATAAAACTTTTTAGCCAATACGTTAAATAACATTTGAAGTATGTACACGATTGTTATTTGTGTGAGATTTTTTTTAAGTGATATGACTATACTGAAGATATTGTAATGCGTTTTTCAAAATTTAAATTTATTTCAATAGTCTCCAGACCAATTATTTCGGACCATTCCCATCGCTCTCGGAAAATTCACACTTGTAATTAACTACAAGAGGAGTTGTTAAAGTTTAGTAATACGCACCACAGATGGAGTTGAGGGTAAACTCTGAGAGTACGGGCACCACATCGATGGGCTTCCCTGCAGTCTGATGCAGCACCTCCAGGAACCTCTCGCTGTTCTCATCAATGATCTCACAGAATTGCTTCAGTATATTGAAGTGGAAAGCTGGAGTTAGGATCTTCCTACGTGTCTGCCATTTGGCACCTTAAAAAGAAATTAATTATGAATACTTGTTACACTTTGTTGTTTCTTTGTTCTTGTCTTTACTCTTTTTTAAGATTATTATTATTATTTTGTATTATACAAATATCTGTATTTTTATAATTCTTTTTATTTCTCTCTGTGTCGAACATTTTTTGAATATTTTTGTTTGCAATTCAATAAGTTTTTCATATTTACCGTTACTGACGAGTAAACCATCTCGTAGCCAATTCTTCAAGAAATTGTAGACAAAACTTTTTTCACCATACTTCATGCCCGACATGAGTATCTGTTAAAGAAACAAATAATTAAAATGAAAATACAAACGTTGATTTTATAGAAGCATGTAAAGGATATCATCACACAGCATGGCTCCAACCCAGCAATTAACTTGTCACTTAAATACGAACTTTAAATCGTATGTCGTGTAACATATTTCCTAACGTCATTATAAAACCTTTTTGTATTGTTTCCAAAGCAAAACCGCCGTGCCGGAGCCATGCTTATTGGGTGTCGATAACTTTAATAATTATAGGTTACTGACCTCAACATCCTCAGGATTGTATATGCAAACCGCTCCCATTGGACAAATCCATATTCTAAAGATTCCATCAAATTCTGTGCATAGTTCTCTTCTCATTTGCATGATCTCAACTGTGTTAAAAGAGAAGATTTATTCAGATAATAATTAACAAGTGAATTAATTTAATTGTATTTGTTTTATCGGAAAACTGGTACAAAATGTTCAAAACTCTGTTGAATTTTACTTGAAATATTTGAATACTTATTCGCACAGATGTAAACTTATACAGCAACTGCGTGTACGGATATAGAAAAGTTATTCGAGCATTCAGTACTGCCTAATATTTCCCTACGATTATGAATTACCCTTTTTTATTTTCTACAAATTGAGGTGTGAACTGATCTGTGAAAATAATTATTTGCAATGTTTCCACTGCATCCATGACAAGAAAATTTTAAAATAAGGGATACTAATAGAGCTGTAAGTAGTTTACGAAATTATTAGAATTTGATCCTATTTATTAGGTACCTATAAATTTATTTTTTCTATATTTTTTTTTCTAATTTTATCAATAACCAGCAATTCCGTAAACATCCATAATTTACCTGGAGAACGTATAACGGTGAATCCATTGCCAATAATAAAGTCATCTCTAGGGCCGGGTATTTTTCTGATCAGTCGAGCCTTTCTATTGTAGTTGAGCAAAATGTGTGCAACACACAGAAATATAACTGTTACCACTAAATACACGAACATTTTGTAAAACGTCGTAAAGCAATAATATTGAAAGCACTACTGATTATTATTGAATCGATGTATTGTTTATATTGCGAACTTTATCAAATACACCTAGTATATTCGCCTAGAATAATTTATATCAATAAATGAATAACTAGACTTTAGATAAAGATCCTTTGTATGTGAATTGAAATTATTGTTCAAAGGAACTCTGTATTAAAGTTAACGAAACTGCAAAAGTTTTGGTGATTAGGTATTTGCAATCGAAATAATATATAGTTGCGCTTATTTAAATTGGTTAACAAAAAATTTTGTTGATGGTCAGATTCAGAATACATCAATTAGCAATGAAATACTTTTCTAATAGATCTAATCGAAGACTTGCATTTCCTTTCATCTAGCTTGAAGATATGTTTTTATAATAACTATCGTGAGACATATTAAATTAATTAAAAATTGCTGTAGTAGTAATATAGTATAGCTGTAGTAAATAGAGTAGGCTGCGCGACATTGCCGCAACCGCGTATGCTTGAGGAAGAACCCCTCTGTGGTTCGAAAGTAGTAGAGCTTTTCTCAGTATATTCATGTGAGTAACCCGCGACTTTTAATTAATATGTATATACGTTAAATTCACCATGTGAGCTCGCTATCAGACGAATACTTTCTTAACAGAAACGTTGTAATGTTATAATATAGGTATTTTTAACCGAAAATCATCATCTCATCTCCATTCCATCTAAAGGCTTGACTTTTTCGAATTTCCAATCCGATTTCCACTTTTCCGATTTGACTGCACGTTTGGTGCGGTGGCTGGGCAACCGGCTGCCGTGCAACGTGTCGCGGGTTCGATTCCCGCACGGGACAACACTTTGTGTGATCCACAAATTGTTGTTTCGGGTCTGGGTGTCATTGTCTATGTGAACATGTATGTTTGTAAACGCACCCACGACACAGGAGAAAATCCTAGTGTGGAGCAACGTTTTTTTTTTTTTTTTAAAAAGGGCTTTCTTTTCTATAAGAAATTTAACTATGTGATATGACCGATCATTGTACACGCAAAATTTTTAATCAATATTATTTCGAGTAAAGCTCGAGGCATAAGCCAGTAGTATCTAATTCTATGTATAATCTTTAGTTCATAGATAAAAAACTAGATTAAACCCATTCACTACTAGGATCCGAGCGCTTATGATAATATTCAAGATATTTAAAAATCAATCGGATCTATTACGTTTATCGCTAGTTTTTACACGTGTTAGTATTTTTTACTTACGGTCCTCCATGGTATCTTCCATGGATCTTAATTATATAAGATTCAATAGTATTTGCGTCCTATCGTAATACATAAAATGTTTATGTAACTAGAATAAATTATGAATTAACTAAAATATACTGAGAAAAGCTCTTTAGTTTCGAACCACTGAGGGGTTCTTCCTCATGAGTGAGTAACCCACGATTTTTAATTAATTTAGTATCTTTCACGATAGTTATTATAAATTATGAATTGTCACACAGTCTTGATGGAATTACAAAGCCTAGGTAACTTTTAATGTACTTTTAACCGACATCAAAAAATAAGGTATTTATATGTTTGTATGAATGTATGTTTGTGCGCGATTATCCCGCAAATGGCTGAATCAATTTTGAAGCGGTTTTTAGAAAAGTATTTGTTACACTTTGGAGAAGGTTTGAGTATATTAATTAACCGATTTCAAAAAAAAAGAGGAGATTGTTTAAACTATTACTTGCGAACGGAAGGCCAGGCAAAGTTCAGGCTTTGCCCAGAGTGTATGCAATCTTATCAAATTATTGTGTTTATATGAACGGATGTCATATTTACCTATACGTACACGCTACATCTACAATTTGATATATCATTTCCAGAAACGAAAAAAAAATCCTGTAATTAATAATGTTGCAAAATATACGAAGAACAATAAATGAAGAGTATAATGTTAAATTTCTATAAACAAAAGTCAATGTTATTTGTGAAGAGCCAGACAGTGAAATATAAATAAAATGAGTCAGGATGCGATAATGTGGCTACCTACGCACAGTGGCCGATGGTGCCCGGTGATTTAACAACATATTTTACAGACATGAGAACACACGAGACACAGCTGATGAGATAACGCCTATAGGTGGACAGCAGAAAAAAACGGAACTACATCCAGTTATTTAGAGAGCTTTTTTTTTAAGGGGGGAAAATCATCGAATGACTTCTCCCACCTGGGTGAGGCGGGAGGGAGTGTCAGACTCTTACTGACTAAAAACCACCCCGTTCCTTCTCCTGCACGTCGAGCCGGAGCCCCGGTTACCCGTTAGGTTCTCCGCGACTATTTAGAGAGCTACGTCATCGCTACGTCGGTTCTACGCTGTACTACGCCCAGCTACAAGGAGTGCTACGCTGCTACGCCGATTCTACTCTGTACTGCGCCCAGCTACATGGAGTGATACGGTGTAACGCCGATTCTACACTGTACTACATCTAGTTACAAGAAGAGCTACGCCACTACGTCGGTTTTACGTTATACTACGCCCAGCTACAAGGAGTGCTACGCTGCTACTACGTTTCTATGCTAAACTACGCCAAGCCACAATGAGTGCTACGCTCAGCTACAAGGAGTGTTACGATGCTAAGTCCATTCTACAATGTACTACGCCTAGCTACATGGAACGATACGCCGCTACGTCGATTCTACGCTGTATTACTCCTAGCAACATGGAGTGCTACGCCACTACGACGTTTCTATGCTATACTACGCCAAGTCACAAGGAGTGCTAAGCTCAGCTACAAGGAGTGCTACGATGCTAAGTCCATTCTACAATGTACTGCGCCTAGCTACACGGAACGATACGCCGCTACGTCGATTCTACGGTATACTACGCCAAACCACAAGGAGTGCTACGCTCAGCTACAAAGAGTCTATGATGCTAGGCCCATTTTATAATGTACTACGCCTAGCTATACGGTATGATACGCCGCTACGTCGATTCTACGCTGTCTTACGCCCAGCTACATAAAGTAATACGCTGTTGTGTTGATTCTACACTATACTACACCCAGCTACATGGGACACTAGGCTACTACAATTCTAGGAAGTATTACACCCAGCTATGTATTTGAAGTGTTATGTATGCTGCTATATTTATGCAACATAGCACTACGTTACACTACTTTGTCTCTTATGCAGTTACCCTATGACTTCTTTACACAACTAAAGAAACTACACGGTTCTCTATTCTGTGGTTGTCTATGATCGTCTGCGCTACGCTTCTGACTATGAACAATGCAAATCTTACATTAGGTATACGATCTCACGTCAGTACCATATATCATAACTCAAAGATCAAACCACAGGCTTAGTTCTTTTGTCTTACTTATATATACTACTCTGTTAAGAAAGTACAAAATGTCTGTTATTCATCCAAAATTTTATCACCTTGAAAGTATGATCCTTTAGAAACGATACACTTGCGCCAACAATTAATCCATTCATCAAAACATTTTTTAAACGCTGCTTCCGGAATTGAGTTCAGTTCTCGCCGCGAATTCTCCTTTATGTCTTCTATCGATTGAAAACGGGTCCACGAAGTGTTAGAGTTTAAGAAAAAGAAAAAAATCAGCAGGAGCCATATCTGGTGAATATAGTGGTTGCTGGATGGTATTTCTTAAGTGTTTGGTCAAAAATTCGTTCACAATGATAGCCTTGTGCGAAGGTGCATTGTCGTGGTGCAAAATCCATAAATTTTCTTTTCACAAATCTTTTTTTTTATGGCATAAGCCGGTAAACTAGCAGACAGATCACCTGATGGTAAGCAATCGGCGTCGCCCATTGACACCTGGAACACCAGAGGCGTTACAAGTGCGTTACCGGCCTTTTGGGGATTAGGAGTTTGAGGATCGTTGGGGATTCAGGAATTGGAGATAGGGGCAGGGGATGGTAATTGGGCCTCCGGTCGATAAATCTAGCCGTTTTCGTCGAACTTGCTCTCTTAAACGCCGCATAACGCTCAAATAACATTCTTTATTTACCGTTAGACCTTCGGTTTCGGTTCGTTGGAAAAGTTGGAAGGCGCCACTCCGAAGCTTGTTGACTAGTTTGCATGTCAAACTCTTAAATCCACTTCTCGTCACCAGTAACAATGCGTTTCATGCATGTTGGGTCCGAACTGACTCATTCTAGCATGTCCTCAGCGACTTTCATGCGATTGAGTTTTTGGAGAAAATTCAGATCTTTTGGGACTAGCCGAGCAGCAACATGTTTCATACCCAAATGATTAGTTGAAATGGTACGGATGGACTCGTGAGATACAGAAAGTTCGGCGGCTATCTCTCTCAGAGTTGAATGGGGATTTTCAGTCACTATTTCCTTCACCGCTTCGACCGCTTTTGAACGCTTTGAACCACTTATAAGCACGAGTTTTTGATAAAGTTGATTCACCGTAAGCCTTTTGTAACATTTTCAGTGACTCCGAACATGAAATTCCATCGGCGATGCAAAATTTAAGTATATAAACGCAATACACACCTATAATTAATATAAATAACAGATGCAACTCAAACTCCGCGCCAAAACGGAAAACAGTTGTGCCAATCTAACAACTACAAAAAAAACAAAAAATTGAATTTGGAACCATTAACAAATCATCCATTCCCTATACTTTTTTGACTGAATGATAGTAATATAGTTCAAATATATAGTTCATAGAAATATTTGTCAAAATAATTACGATTGTATTGGCTTCAGATTTCTGAGTTAGTTAACTATTAAGAATTATGATACTTTTCATTTGAAATTACTTTAAACTTATTCTGGAAGTAATCTACATTGCTCCATCTTTGCTATAAAGAAACCTCTTGATATAAATAAAGTAGCGCCTGTCATAATTTCTGAGAGCAATCTATTCAATCGACCTCAATTACTTACAGTGTAGGCACACCGCATCGTGAAGCTCTAGGCCAGTGGAGCCAGTGAAGGCATGAACTAACTATAATATTTATAGATCACAATTATCGGCTCCATCACTAATGTCTTTTAAATGAATTTTGAATATAACAGTTTCTAGAGAAATCTACGGAATTCTTTTTTAATTTATTATCGGCTTTAATTTAATTCTGCTTTAATGATCGCAAAAAAGTTATCATAGAAGTCATCAGGTATTTAAAAGTGATGTATTAATAACCTTATCATCTACGTGAGAATTTTAAAATTTTGACGAACATCCGTCTTTTATTCGGTAAATGAAGAGGTTGTCAGGCATGTTAATAATCCCTTCAACCAAATAGGGTAGCCATACATTGAGCTGCATTTTATAAAACCAAATAATATTTCAGTAAATCGAAACCGACAGTCTTCACTTACCATAGCACTTGTATCCATTTGAAAATCAAGGCATTTTAATAACCATAGCAAGCAATAGACGGACTTTTATTACTGCAACTTTATTAGTCAGCCTTGTCATATATCTTGAAACAATAGAGCGTGTATTACTCAGTGTAACTGGTATATACCAGTGGCGCCACAATAATAGAAAAAACAAACCTCTTAATTATGGAACTGAACAACTATCTATTGATTGACGCACGAGGCTATTAACAACAAAAGGAGCATTATTGATTGTCATTTGTAGGCATGCATATAATATATTGTTCCATAGTCCATGTAATTTATTCCTACATACGTACGATTTTCCTGTGTCTATGTCCGTTTAAATTTTATGCTTGTCCAGTTTTTTGGGAAGATTTGTGACAAGTTTAAAGACTGACGTTCAATTTACAAAAATGCCAAGTTAACTGAAACTGTAAACAAAAACTACATCAGGGTGGCAAAGAAAGAGTAAAGATGAAGAATATTATCCAATATTGTTCAACTAGTAGTATGTCTTATTGTATGAAAATTACGTCGTCGTCGTTGCTCCAATGCAAGCTTGAACGGTTTATATTTGGTGATTGTTCACCAAATATAGGTTCCAGTTTACACCTTCAATTATTGTAGCTTTTCATTGATACTAAGGTACCTAAGGCTCTTATTAAGTAAGTAGGTACACAACATACATTTGTGGGACTAAAAAAACAAACTGAGAGGTATCTATATTAGGCGCTACATAAGCATAGGCTGTATATTATCCATGTTTCATGTAGGTATGTTATCCTCATGTCCAATATTTATCTTATGTATTAGATATGATGTTTGTTCTTAATCTATCTCAAACTCTTGAGCAACAAGAACAACAACTCAAGGTTGCTTTACTATCTTGTTAATGCTGTTAAAGTGATGAGTTACACGAAAATAATACACTGTCATCACTAAACATTCTCGGTTCTTCAAAATATGATATCGTATGACATACATCGGTATAGCTATGGCATATACCTATTAAAATTGGTTTGGTATAAAATAAAATATTTTTCCCCAAAGCGAAAGTTACACTCCTCGAAACTTCTTACTATTTTAAAACCCAGAACTATTTTTATGTTAACACTAGCGATCGCACGGGTGCAATATGCATGTATTATACATATAAACCTTCCTTAAGAATCACTCTATCTATTAAATAAAACCGCATTAAAGTCCGTTGCGTAGTTTTAAAGATCTAAGAAATGTTGTGATAATCAATACTTTTTACTGCAAAAACAACTTTTCCTCTGTGATTTTCCTAAATGGCAATTCTGTTATAGTATAGCATAGATATAAGCATAGCCATCGTGAATCTCCTTATGTCATAGAAAATGTCATAACAAAAATTTTATAGAAATCAACAGTGTGATTTGAAAATTACATCAATATTATAACAAAATGAATCAATCTACGTCAAAAAATAAACACGAAGTACGCACAAAAATGATTTTGAACAAATAATTTGATGTCGAGACGACAACATGAAACCATATCGCCGATCAAATAAAGTTTTTATGGTCGAAGTATGATCAATATAATTTGTATTTATTTAGTTTTAAATAAAATCTTTCTCCCCGCCTTTTCTAACTAGGAAATGCTTAACTGGAATCAACTGGAATCACCCGACTGGCAGTATTTCACACGTCGTGACTGCTACTTAACATCGACAACCTCCAAAGCAATCCTACATCGTTCGTTAGATAGCAGACAGATTTTAGGGATTCTACCTAACCGTGCGCAATAAGTAGCAAAATTAGCATATGGGTATCAGGTGTAGGTATGTGAAATTGTATGTTGTGATAGGACCGTCCATTATACGCCTATTAACATAATTTGTTTAATAAACAAATAAATATGTTTATAAATGCCGCTACCACACAAAATTCTAGTATAAAGCAAACTACAGTCTTGGGTTGTTCTACATTTTGAACTTTAAAATGTTCGATTTGAGAATCAATAATTTACTTTATGTTTCCAGCAGCTACGCTCGGCGTCGAGGCTGGGTCGTGTACGCGTGCTTGCGCGGGAGTTCGCGAGCGACGTGCAGTCCCTGTGGCGGTACGGAGCGCCGTTCCCCACGTTCCTGAAACTCATCGGCACACTGATCCTCTGTCTCCTCGTCGTGATGCCACTCATCTACCCAGTGTTCGTTGTCGTCATCTCGTACTTCACATGCGAAAGCTTATTTCTGAGGTAAGGTATATTTAGCAACTACATTACTAACAATATTGTATCATTTGGCAAAACCAGATATAATCGTGCCACAATATATTTTTTCGTAATCACACGACATCTTAACAAAGTTATGCTCGTAACATTATAGTCAATTTCAAAATGTAGGTAATGTGATCTTCTCGTAAAAAGCATACGCAAACTGAGCATTATGTAAAGGATTCCATTAATACTTAAAACAAAAAGAAATCTGCTTCGTACCTGAACATGTGTTCCTATCAAGATAACATACTTAAGATCAACTTTCACAGCTGGTGGTTGGACCAGCCGGGGCGGTTCCTACCAATGCCGATAGCGCGCCGAACTCTCTCAGCTGGGTTCCGGCCAACCAGCCCACCAGACGTATGGAAAGTGCGTGAGGTGCTCACACGCGGCATTCTGCTCACACACTCCCTGGCCACTTCCGTCGACTACCTGTGCGTCATGCAAGGACTCCTTGATGAAGCCTAATGTAAACAAACTACCTATGAATATAGAACCTTAAACTTACATAGGTGGATAAATCAATTAGGCTCGTTTAAAGTCTGTTCATGATTCAGTAGTCAATTATATTATATTCTCCTTTTTTAATTGTAATCATATGCACGACTTTTATACAATGCCTTCATAAAACAACTGATAAAGTCTATTATCGGTTTTAATGGGTACTTATTTTAGCACTTAATGAAAGTTGTTAAAAGGAACTATTACTTTTTATGACTAATAAATTAATTTTAAAACCTTCAGTTTTCTTGTGCTTGTAGTGATAGTATAAATTAGGGAATAGAAATAGTCACAGTGCACACTTAGAACGAACCGCGGTGTATTTTAGAAAAAAAACAAACGCCTTGTAGTCGTAACATGCAAACTCTGACAAAGGCTATACTCCATTGTGTTAGTATGTAGGTTGGTGTGCAGTTGTTCTAGAGTCACAATCTTGCCAGAGCAAACATATTTAGTTTCACCTACAAAGCCTTAAGATAAAGTCGTCAATATTCCTAACAAAACATATTTTGTGAAATAATAATTTAAAATTGATTAGTGCAACCATGTCGATTTTTATTTAAATGCTGAACTTTAATTCACAACCTACATTTAACTGCGAAGGACCTATCCTTATAAAATGTTGATCCTCGCAAAAAGTTGTTGTAATTCTGACAATTAACAAAGTCTCTCAGTTTGTAATATCAAATTCTTAGATCAGCTAAGATAGTATTGATTGTATTTGTTGCCAAGGAAACTCTAGCATGAAACGAGTTAATCCCTTGTCAATACACCACACCCAGTGGGCTATCTTCAGAATATCGGTACTTGATTTATCTCACCGACAAAGATTCTCGGGGCACTTGACAAGCTAACTTGTGTTGGTGGGTGTCGGTTAGAGAGCAGTTCGTCGGAGGAGGTCGACGACGCGACACACGGAACAATGGCGATGCTGACTTGGACCATTATTGGGCTGCTGGCGCTGTGCCACTCGTAAGTCAACCTGTTTGTACTGTTAAGTCACACCTCATGTATTTGTTGTTTCAAAACAATTTATATAACCATATTTTAAAGGTCAAATCACTCTCAAGGACGTGTCAAATAGGTACACCTGCACATTTGTTGATGAGACGTTACACCTTTCACATATTAATCGACTGATTATTTAGTCAGCGCCAAACATCGGTACAGAAATGAATCAGGTCTACCAACCTCTTTCATGTACAGTTACCTTGCGTTCCACTTTACGTATAGTTGGAAGTTTAGCTCCTTTTTTGTCCAAAACAATTTTGCATTTTGTCCGTAACTTCGTTTATCAAATCGCAATGACTTAACTTCATTGAATTAGTTTAGGATAACAATTTAACGCTAATTTAAAAGGTTCGAGATTTTTAATGAAATTTCCCATTACGTACATAGAATAATGTTTGATTCATGTGTTTAACGATTATTTGACACATTAATCATTTTCTAAGCCTTGTTATAGCCCTAAGCCACAGCTTCTCCTAGAACTTATGTGACTAACATTTCGTTAACATTATGTATTTTCTATAGTTCATACTTACTTGTATTTTTCTGTCTGTTTGCACAAATGTGAGGACAATTGTTTCGATACCACGTTCAAGGCCTGTTCAAGGTACAATCACATAATGCCTATCAGCCATATTAAATAATATTTCGCATGATTTTATTATCAGTTTACTAAAATAGTCCTACTATAAGAAGGTACTTATTATATGAGGTCAATGTCTTCCACCTTTATCTATTCACATCAGTACTCACATTATTCTACAATCAAGTACAAATGCGTAATAAGTAAGAGGAAAATTGATAATATATTTAGGGTAAATATAATTAAATCTTAAAATCACTATAATCTTGTAATTAACGATTATATAGATACCTAATATTATTATATAAATATTTTGTATTATTATTACTGTAAATATCTTGAACTAAATGTTGGTATTCTAATACTGATTATTCAGTTGTGCTCTTTGTCTTAAATGCGTTTATTCAGTAAAATAATATTAATCTTCATTATAAATTGCAATTAAATACACTTAATTGTGAATTAACTGTGAAAAATATCAAAACTTTTGAGTATTTGCGCATGCTACTATAATTGTACTATCAACGAATGTGATCTTGACAAATCCCTCACAGAACGATATCTCATCCGATGTAGTACGTAATCTCATCTCCCTGTCATTCAAACTTATTTCATTGTCGTCAGAGATCCTCAAGAGTATTTGATAAGTGACCGTCACGTAAATAAATATATTATCTATAATAGGCTTTGGACACTCTTCCTCCCACCTAAAGACTGATAACACACTTATGATTTCTCTAGTATTGCAGATGCCCAAGGGCGGCGGTGATTGCTCGCCATCAATTGATCCGTCGTCGATCTGTCGTCCTTCTATCCCATAAAATTAGAAAATCGTACTTGAGTTATTTTCTTAATTCTTAGGCGGATACGGACAAACAATTAAAGATCCTTAAGATAATACATGGAAAGATTGGAGTCTTCCTAACACGTATCAGATATTTTATAGGCATAATGAACTGATAACAAACTATTCACGAATTCTAGTCAACGACAAACTAGGTATAATAATATTATGTCGGTTATTATTCAATTCCCCATAGACGTAAAAGTATATTCTTACTATACTTAACAGTTACAGTTCAACAGTTTATTGATCGACCATCTCTTGGTCAATGTCTAGATAAGCGAGGAACTTAGGACCTCGGATACTAATCTTGGGATCACATCACAATGCTCGAACTCTAACCAAATGTCCCATATGTTTTTTTATGGATGAAATCATCCAATGACTTCTCCGCCTTGGGTTAGAACGCAACGCGCTGTACGCACGTGTCTGGTTCCGGTCGGGTGGCAAACTACCCTTGCTCACCGTCCGCAGACCCGCACTTACGGTGGCCGGAGATCGTCGCGCGATCTCCGATGCCCGGATTGTCTCCTGCGACGGCTGGGGATGTCTGACGCGTTCGTTTGTTTTCAAAACAACATTTGCAGTAACCTTTAGTACCAGTACCTGTAGGAAATAACATTTGTATAAGGATAATCCTTCATTAACTCATTATAGGCACAATTAAAGAACAATACGGTGTTTGACAGTTTAATCATGTCATATTACATCGACATAATATTTTACGTTACAGGAGCATAGCTTACACCAAATTCCCTCCTGGGTTCACGTTTGGCGTAGCGACAGCTTCCCATCAGATCGAGGGTGCTTGGAACGTCAATGGTGAGTTATAACTAAATACATTCAATCGTTTGACAGAGATTTTTCAAACAAAAACTTCTTCGAATGATTCTATCATTTCGTTAAAGGAATGAAGAAGTGTATTTTATACTTAGGTATAAAATACACTTCAGTATTCGTATATTTCTTTCTTCACATTTATTTAGCGATTGATAATATTAGTTACATGTTATAGCGAAATAGCCTACACACAAAGAATTTGGTTTGATTATAGTCATACCTACTCATTACCGGGGCCTACATTCTGTAGGTACCTATATCACAATTAATATGAAAACCAATATCTGAAGAGTGATGTCATTTCATTACCACTTTAGAAGTCCCTAATTGTTGATTTTGACATTCTTAACTCAGGGTGATTGGATAAATAATTTACATGCGGCATAATTGCGATTTAATTGTTTTTGATTGGCAAATTAGTCATTAGATAATGGTGTCCTCGTCCGCAATGTCTAACGACTGTTACTAAAACATGTTTGTTTTTATGAAACTACGCATGAACTGATGAATAGCAAAATGACAATACTGTGCGTAGAAAATTGTTAAAATATCGAACAAGGACGTATATTATTGATAACCTATATAATTGGGCCTAGCCATCTTCAACCTTAATTTTATTGTTTCATATTTTATTTGCGTTAGCGGATGATTTGCCTTCAACCTTCAACAGTTTTCATGCGACAGTCAAGTTTTTAATGATAGAGAGCACTCTATATCTGTGTTTATATGTAGTACACAATTGGTCAAAATTAATACATAAGTATTACTGTGTTGAATAAATATGTATTTATTATGCTACCAAGATACAATTTTAGCTAAGTTAATAAAACAGAAGCGATATAACAAACATAGGTAGGTACATAGGTGTCATAGTTATGATAACCCTTATCATATATGGCTACGTATGACAATCAGACAGACACTCAATCAATTACTATCTGTTTACACAAATACGAGATGAGATATAGGTACGAAAAGTTGATTGAATTTGTCACTTTGGACAATCTATTTTCGGCCTAGTTAGTCAAATGAGTGTTTTTGTCATCTCGCAGGGTGGTCTTCATCGGCCTCTTAGAATCTTAGATGAATGATTGGATTAAGGTCAAGACATAGGTTCAAGGAATGCTGGTTTGAGTTCTGGTCATGTGTTTGGCAATATAGGTACACTAGCTGTTGCCCGCGACTTCGTCCGCGTAGATTAATGACTTCTGACAGAATTAATCAGAATCAATTCAGTGCCTAAGTAAGATTTACCTATTTTGAAATGATTTATCGTACTTTCAATAAATAAATAATCCCGCAGGGATCTTACCAGTACAGTGCCCGATCACGTAAGGTTTGAGTAATAAAAACTATTTTATCGACTATTGTTGTACCGAATCTCTCTAAAATAAGTTCAGTGGTTAAGAGTTAGAGAGTCCTGGGGCATTGACAAATAGTTCCCGTTCCCGTGGGTCATCTGTGATAAAAACTATCAAACGTTACCCAGGTCCCAAATCATCGTTTTATCGAATGTAATTCAAAAAGATTCAATGATTCTTAATTCAATGGCTAAGAAGATTTATACAAACTCTCATCCCCTATTTTACTCCCTTGGGGGTGGAAATTATCAAAATCCTTTCAAAGCGGATGCTGACGTCATAACATCTATCTGCATGCCAAATTTCAACCTGATCGGTTTAAAACTGACAAAGGCTCATATAAACTTTCATCCCCTATTTTACCCACTTGGGGGTGGAAATTATCAAAATCCTTTCACAGCGGATGCCTACGTCATAACATCTATCTGCATGCCAAATTTCAACCCGATCGATTTAAAACTGACAATATCTCATATAAACTTTCATCCCCTATTTTACCCCCTTGGGGGTGGAAATTATCAAAATCCTTTCAAAGCGGATGCTTACGTCATAACATCTATCTGCATGCCAAATTTCAACCCGATCGGTTTAAAACTGACAAAGTCTCATACAAACTGTCATCCCCTATTTTACCCCCTTGGGGGTGGAAATTATCAAAATCCTTTCACAGCGGATGCTTACGTCATAACATCTATCTGCATGCCAAATTTCAACCCGATCAGTTAAAAACTGACAAAGTTTCATACAAACTTTCATCCCCTTTTTTACCCCTTTGGGGGTGGAAATTATCAAAATCCTTTCTTAGCGGATGCCTACGTCATAACATCTATCTGTATGCCAAATTTTAGCCCAATCTGTCCAGCGGTTTGGGCTGTGCGTTGATAGATCACTATGTCAGTCAGTCAGTCAGTCAATCACCTTTGAATTTTATATATATAGAAGATAGAAGATTAGCTTTAGCGGGCGATATAATTAATTAGACTATATACTCTTACCAGAAGTTGCATGCTGGATATTGTTTTCTAAGCTTTATGCAGTAGATTTAAGTCATCTCTGAACAATTTTCCAGGCAAATCTGAAAATGTCTGGGACCGTCTGTCTCACACGCGACCAGAGATGATCGCAGACGGTACCAACGGCGACATTGCCTGCGATTCCTACAACCGTTACCTAGAAGATGTAGAGGAGCTGGAGTATCTTGGAGTGGACTTCTACCGGTTCTCTCTATCTTGGGCTCGTCTCCTGCCTACTGGCCGCATAGATCACATCAACCCTGATGGAATCCGTTACTACAATGATCTCCTTGACGCTTTGGCTGAGAAAAACATCGAACCTCTCGTAAGTTGATTTATCAACCGACATCAAATACTAAATTCTATATGTTGAAGTAAACTACTACTTACACACGAATTAAATTATTGTATGCAGGTTGTATTACTTTTTCTTTCTGAATACAATATACTGGCGTTTTTCGTCAAAAGAAATCTGAACAAAAACCATAATCTTTAAAAAGAAAAAAAGTTTAATGGCATTTACATTTTTTTGGTGGCATAAGACCAGTTACTTTTGTAATGTCTATGATATTTTTTATAAAAATCATTGAGTTACCTATATTTACTAACATAAACAAAACTTATTAATTATTATTTCACAGGGTTATAAATTGTATTAGGATAGTCTTTATGTTTTTATTTTATACAATAGATACTGGCTTATTTTATAGAAAAAATATTAACGCAAAGCCATAAACCTAAAAACGAAAATTAAAACTTAATGGCATCTGTAATTAATTTGGCGCTATGTTTATGGCCCGTATATTTGCATTATCTTTAAAGAAGGTTTTACTAAATAGATTGTATTGTTTTCTATTATATGATAAAAAAAACAAATAAGGTGCCAATAAATACAAGTAAACTTTTTTTTGTAATTAAGTATTTTTATAACTTTATTAAACATTTGCTAAAGAATAAACTAATATCAACATTTGTTAATGTTATAGGTAACCCTGTTCCACTGGGACCTGCCCCAAACTCTGCAAGACCTTGGCGGCTGGACCAACCCTAAGATGATTGACTACTTCCGTGATTACGCTGACTTGTGCTTCAAAGAGTTCGGAACCAAAATCAAGTCTTGGATTACGTTCAACGAGCCTTACGAGATCTGCGAGGATGCTTATGGTGATGAGAAGAAGGCTCCAGCTATAAACAGCCACGGTGTTGGTAACTACCTTTGCAGTGACAACCTGCTAAAGGCTCATGCCGAGTCCTACCACTTATACAACGAGACCTACCGCCCAGTCCAGAACGGAAGGATCATGATTTCCATCAACTCTATCTGGTACGAGCCCAGCGACCCTTCCAACGCCGAACAGGTTGTTCTCGCTGAAGTGGCCAATCAATTCAAAGTAAGAAATTTAGTCACCAACTAGCGTTAATTTTGCTTCCAAATTTCAATACATAATGATCGTGTTTTGGTTTGTTCATTTAGTTTGGTTGGTTCGCACATCCAATTTTCACCGTTGAGGGAGGATACCCAGCAGTGATGGTTGAAAACGTGGCTCGTCAGAGCGCAGCTGAGGGACTTCCCAAACCGCGTCTTGAGCAGTTCGACGACTACTGGATTCAGAGAATCAAGGGCACATCGGACTTCCTTGGTATCAACCACTACACCACATGGTTGGTCACTGGAGCTGGAGTCGACCCCACCGCTAAGTCACCGTCTTGGTTGAAGATATCGGAGCAGTAACTACAATGGAAGTTGGTGGTGACTCTGCTTCAGAGTGGCTTAGAGTAAGTACTGGCATCAATTCTTATCAGTACAGTCTACTAGTTTTACAATCTAATAGGTATATTATAATACTTACTTGTGGATTACTTACCCAATTTAGTATCTTTAAATAAGTTTTTCCGTGTTACCAGGTAGTACCAACTGGCTTCGCTAACCTGCTCCGTTGGTGCAAGAGTTCATACAACGACCCACCGATTTACATCACAGAGAACGGTTTCTCAGACTTGGGTACCTTGGAGGATTACGGTCGTATCAAGTATTACAATGTAAGTGAAACTAAAAATCTCTAAAGAAACCTTAAGAAGCGGGTCTATTATCATATATTTCATATATTATTATCATGCTAATGTCGACAATTTTGGAATGCGCAATAATATTTTAAGACCCAAGACGCATTTTTTTCCTCTGCGACCCCTTGACGGTCGAGATAGAGAATTACCTAAGAGTATAAATAAAATTACTATGATTTTCTACAGGATTACTTGAGCGAGATCCTGAACGTAATCTACGATGACGGCGTCAACGTCCTCGGCTACACCGCCTGGACTCTCATGGACAACTTCGAATGGAGGGCTGGATTCTCGTGAGTAGTCCTATACATTATTATGTACATGTGTATAAACCAACTAACTAACAATAACATCACGCCTTTCATTCCCGAAGGGTTAGGCAGAGGTGCACATTGCCTACGGCACTTAATGCTACTGTCCAATGTAACACCCGCTTTTCACTATTTATGTTACGAGTCCCATGTAATAGGGGGTGAGCCTATTACCATATACCGGGCACATTTTCAGACTCCGTGCTACTACTGAGATTTTTTAAAAACCCTGTAATACTTTGCCAACCCGGAAATCGAACCCGAGACCCCTTGCCCAGCAATCGCACTTGCGACCACTGGCCAATGAGGCAGTCAAACAACTAAGTATTAAAACTAAATGTACTTATTCACCGTTCATAAACTAAAATTGATTCAACTTAGAAGCCTCTATAGCAGTGGTTCCCAAAGTTGGCTGTACTACGACCTACTTAAATCAAGTGTTCAAACTCAGGCCCCCCTTCAGGGAATTAAACCATTACCAATATTAAAAAAATAATACAGAACGGTTGGTTAGTGCGTCTTTCTACAGACAAGGCCCACTAAAAATTCGCTTGCGAGTACCCATAATTTGGGAAACCCTGCTCTGGAGTATTTAGTCCATATCACTAGTTAGATCATATTGTCACAATGAACTTCAATTCCATTTTCAGCGAGCGTTTCGGATTTTACTATGTAAACATTACTGACCCTGCGCGCCCACGCACCAAGAAACTCTCAGCCGATTACTACCGCGACCTGATCGCTAACCGAGAGCTACCTCAGGACGAGCGCTACAAGGTATTAAACCCGTCGTGTGTATAAACGTGGATCCACGCGAGATGCAATGTATTTTCTATTGTGTCTCATATCGGTGCTTAATTCAAAATATTAATATTATCATTGTTTTTACACTAATTTAGAACATTAATCAATATTGAATAAAAATTAAATAATTGTTGATACTTTTTAGAAATTAAGACAAGTATAAACATACATGAATGAGTTATTAGTAATAAACTATTGTATAGACTGTTATTACTGCTTTTCTAGTTATCTGGTGTTTGGTTTTCTCTTCCGAACTGTATACCTGTTTCACTAAATATGTTTTAGACACTATCGCCTACTACTAAACTGAGTAAGTACCTGTTTTCTTATTTCCTTAATCTTCAACCCTTTGTGTATATAGTATCTTCCTTATTAACCACTAGTATAATGGTCTTACTAAATTTACTCTTTGACAGATATCACAAAAGTGAAGGCGGTGACGGTCCAGCATGGTAAAGCCTAGTACCTATTGTATATAATAATATTTATTACAAAAAGCATGTTTTCATCGCTTGTTACTGTTAAAAAAATAAATTATTTAAACCATATTCTCAGACTTTCCTTTCTTCAACAGATTACGACGACACCAAGAAGTGAGTTGTAATATATCGTCGTATAAGTTCTACACATGGGAAGTAAAATATGTAATAGGTATTAAAACAAATATTTATTTAATTCATATAAGAATATCGAATTATTTACAATGAAATTATAGTAAATTAATAACGTTGACACGTAATTTCATTGTTATAACATTGATACACGTAGTTACATACACTACATAGAAAACTTGCATCTGTCGTCAGACTGAAAAGATATGTTTTTCATAAAGGCTATAACTTAGAAATAATTGATTACAGTTTACTTGAGATATTGTTCTGAATATTATTCTGTAGCAAGTGGCAGGCCTCGTGCGAGGCGAGGCTACAGTTCGAGTACAGTTCGAGTACAGTACAGTACGTACAGTAACAGTAACAGTACAACTTGGAATGTTTGTCGACGTGTCGTGACACTAGGAACGACTTACTGGATCACTTGTTCGACCGCTGGTCACTTCTCTCCGACCTCGCGGTGCTACGGGGAGGGCGAGTTGAGAATAATGAACCGAACAATATGAGAAGCATCCAAACTTACGGACTCTTACAATTAATACACGACAAATACAAATATAAAGTATACAACAAATGGATCTACAGAATACAAAATTAAATGTATCATCAACCCAGCACCGTTACGTCTAATTACAATAGTTACACAGATGCTATTATTGCTATGCGACATAACTGAAGATTACATTAAAGTCTTATAAGAATAATAGTACTTTTACTAATATGGCAAAGTTTTCAATGTAGCATTTGATATTAAAGGCCTAATTCCATTATCATATTAATCAATCAAGCTAGCTGAATTCAATACACTCATACAAAAAATTCTAAAGACTAGGTGGGCTTACAAAATTTTGAAACATTTGAATAATTGATAGAAACATGAACGATGATTTAATGAATTGATTACTAACAATAATGAAGTAATACTAATTACATAACAATAGTTATAGAAAATAGATTTTATACTTTGTTGGCACCAATCGCAGTCTGCTTCGTAGCAGGTCGCAATGTTATTTCAATAAATCCGTCAAATCGGACTATAACTATCTTCTGAGTAAGGCACTTACAGACAAATTTCTAGCTCCAATTATTCCCTAAAATTAGCTAGCTAGCTGCACCCATACACTTGAATATTGCTTATGTAGTCACATTGTTCACTTAGAACCCAACTAATATAAGTAAACATAATAGTTGCCAACATATTACCTACTTCATGATTAACTATTAAAACTTAACGTCTATTCATAATCTCGAAAATTCACAAGGACGGTGTAAGTTGACAAACAACGTTCTACAAGTACATAAGTAGTTTATTTTCTGTCACATCACTATTACATCAATAGCTCGTCAATAGAAAAATTGTAAAAATATCTCAACATTATCTAAATTATTACAACAATAAATAATTTTATCAAGGCACAATAAGGCACTGTTCATTACATCAAGATGTTATCACAATCTTAATTTTAAAATATATCATAAAATATTGTTTGCTTGTCGATTTATAGAATACGATTTCCGATAGTCTCTATGAAAAGAATATGGAAACTTAGTTCACGAATGATTGCGTTGCAACGCAACTACTTTCTGCTACGAAAGAAGGCTTGCAGCCACCGCGCGGCGAGACGTCGCCGGCACGCGTCACAGTGCTGTGTGCTCCCGCACCTCGCACTAACCTCATGACTAGCCATTCGTGATAGTCTTGCTCTACTGATCCGCGATACTTGGCTTACTTTTCGTAGCTCATCTCTTACTTCAACAGGTTGAAACATTTTACAATCGGAGCATCATTACGTTATTGTCTTGCTCACATCATAAGACAAAAAGATTTTATTATTTTCTTACGTCACTCCAGCATTATTTGCTAACTATGGGTGTATAGATACTAATTTACAATACTTAAAGGCCAAGTCAAGAATTACGATGAGTATGTGTTGTAAAGTCAGTCATACAAAATTCCACACATTTACATTTCAACCACAACGAAGTAGAAACATTTAACTCACACAATTTCGTACTCCTATCTCATTCGAATAAATGCAGAGACAGAGATAAAACCAATTCTGCATAAAAGCGAGCAGATAAAGTAGGGAATAGTGAAACCGGTGCGGAAATGTGTTGAAATAACATTTGAACTGAAAAATAACGTTGCTGGCTATAAATACCACCAAATGCGTAAGTCCGCACCGGTCCAACTGTTCTCATGGAAGCCATCGTACTGGTATTGAAGTATCTATCTATACTAAGTCATAAGCACACAAAATCCCACGTCAGTCATTACACATGTTATGCTATAATTGTCATTTTCAAAGTGAAATTTACACCATCGTTACCGTGTTGTCCCCGACACTGTTATAGCGGTCGACGTCATACAAGCGGTAAGTACGCTACATTAAACATATAATACCTAATTTGAAAGTTTGTAAGCATGGTCTGCGCGGGCGCGCGGCCCCTACAGCCACGTCAGTACGTTGTCGGGCTTGCTCGGCGTCGAGTTTATCAGCGATTGCACATCGTCCAGGAGTATGTCGTTGGTGAACTCGTTCAACTGAAACAGTCGTATTTAACACGTTATTACAAGCTTTTAGGATTCATCACCATATTAGTCACAAGATGTCCACTAATGGACAATGAACACAAGCATCTAGCTAGATCTACCAATCTTTTGGTATTAAATTTTCAAACCTAACCATTTTTAACTATCTGTTCCAATGAACCACGCCGCAGACAAAGGACTTCTTCGTAGACAAAAGTTAAGTCGTAGACAAAAATCTACGTCGTTGACAAAGTCTACGTCGTAGACAAGACAACGCCTTAGATAAAGGACTACGCCGTAGACAAAGGACTACGCCGTAGACAAAGGACTACGCCGTAGACAAAGGACTACACCGACTACGCCGTAGGGATGCCAAGGTCTAAACTACGCTGGCTATGCCGTAGGTGATAATGTGACAAAATTAGACAATTTAATAACTTACTTGCAAAGAAGGAACCAAGTCGTCAGTAGAGTCGAGGTTGTCGGCTAGCGTAATGTCGGTGGAGTCTAGGTTGGCGCCGGCCTCGCTAGTGCAGTCCATGCGGTCGTCCATGCCAGAGAGGAAACCTTCTGGCGTATGTGGCATCGAGTAGGAGTGCGGAACACCCATCCCTAGGCCGCTGTCAGCTGACTCCTGCCGCTGATGATCTGAAAGTCCTGACAGGAAGGGATCCAGCGGCAAGTCCGTACTGGTAACACCCGTACTGTTCGCCAGTGACGACACGATTGACGACGACTGCCTTGCCATTATAAGCTCTTGCTGAAACACCAAATTAGATACTTTATAAATCTGACTAAATTATGTGATAATAATTATCTTCCAGTGGAGGGGCACTTAGTTTTTAGAACTGTTGCAAATTACTAAGGTCATATACGTCTCTACCTGTTCCGTATGCATCCGGAAGTCTTTACATCAAGGAAATGGAATCAGCAGACGTATGCTAATGAGAGCATTATACCCCACAAAAAAAACATCATGGTAAACAAGTTCTCAATCCACTAACATTCACAGAGTAAAAAAGTTAATTCCTGTTTTAATTGTCATCAAAACAAAGGTTCCACAATAGCTAAAGTATCGTAATCACAAATACCGTGACTGTAATAAATCAAACGCTTGTTACCTGGAGTCTGATCTCCTGCTGGCGCTGCTTAAGGCGCTCTCTCTCGAGCTGCAGCGACTGCAGCCGCAGCTTCTGCTGACACGCCTGCAGCGAGGTGTTGGCCCAACCACCGTCCGGTACCGCCCCGCCCGCAGCCGGCGTGCGCTGCAAGTGTTGTGCTGGAAACAGAAACAATCACCCGTCAGTAATCACGTAATCTTACCATTTACATCGGAATCAAAACCTGTCTTCGTGACAAAGTTTATTATTGAAGCATAAAGGTATAATTGTACAATCACACAAGATAATTATGCGTTTGTGACATTCACTGTACATGTTGTATACTTACGTATCCTTGGATCGAACCAGGATGTGGTGCGAGCTGCATGATTTATAAAGTAGATTTCTCCTTCCGCCGTCGCGGCCTGCTCCCAACCCTCCGGCAGGGGCCCTAGTGGATCCGTCGTTGTGTTACTACTTGTACTCTTCGCTGCTGAAAACAATCAAACGTACGTAATCAGTACCTTTGAAACGTTACACTTGTCATTTGTAGGAAAACAACTTATGATTCTCTCAACAGCGACTAGTTGCAAGCCAGCACATTATGAACTAAGACGTACGCACACGTGATTGAGAATCAGGTGGACAACGGGAAGGTCGATGTGAGCTCGTTCCAAGAAACGACGGCGCCAGACGAGCGCGAGCTGGCGAGCGCTTGGCACTCGTTTCCAAAAATGAATCACGGCGCACGCGCGGTGCCGCGGTGCCGCGGACAAGTCACACGCACGCGCTCTCACGCTTTGTGTACGCGCACCGCGCAGCGCAACAAACAGCCAATCATTCATAAACAATTCACAGATATATAGCCGGCTAATTAATCGCCAATATCATGCTTATTAACGTTGCTCTGTTCTAATTGTGTGACTATATCTAAGTATTACGTAGCTCATATTGCTTATCCTAGTCACTAATCTAGTTAAAATTTAGATGATTAACTAACTTTGTTCGTCTATTTGGTTTATTTATCTAATTAAAATTACCTGTGTGTACTGTAAGTTAAGTTTTAAAGGAATGATTTGAAGATAAAATGAATTATTTTGTAATTAATCTAGAAACATACGTTATGAACTATTTACATAATAAATGCAAGCCCGAGCAGACTCTTGCGACCACGCCGGTAAAAACAATGCACTTTATCAAAATTGCAATCTAGATAATTTCTTTATTAACTGTGTTGCCTTTGTGCGGTCCGTGCAGTGTAATTACCTACACATTATTTACAATCATCATTACTCAACAGTCGACACCAGCGCACAGCGGCTCTGCGACTAACCGCGATATTACGTTAGCATTACGTTATGACCGCCTCCACCGCTATTTTGTAGCTGGTAAGTACTTTAACCACTTTGATTTGACTACAAAACAGGATAAATAATATTGCTACTAGAAGATAGACAAAAATAAATGCGGTCAGCTACAAAGTTAGATTACGTTGACAAAGCTAACAATCCCAACATTTTGATAGATGGTTTGAAAACAAGTTCTTGTGACAAGAGATGCGTTATACGAAAGATATTTCAGTCGTACGAGTTGTAGTATGTTATCGCGATATAAGATTAGGGAGGAACGCGCTGTGGAAACAGAATTATTTGTATTGTCACCTGATCTACATAGGTAGATGTTTGCAGTGTGGCGAAGATAAAGTAAGATGTAACAGTGTCACTTGCTGTGTAAAGTGGCGGCCGGCCCGCCGAGGTGGCGCTGCCGCAGCTCCTTTGAACGTGATCTGATACGTGAATAAGTCACGTACCTACGCACCTATCATAACTATTAAAAAATGAACTCATAAAGGTAAACACGTGCGTCGTGCACATGCTGTCAGGGAGTAAGTGAATTAAATATTGATGACACAAAGGTGCTTAAAGCATACTTGGCTGAAGATTTTAGTCTCGTGAGACAAAGAGCTGTTTTAGTTTGTTGTGGTGTAGTAGTCTACGTATAAAGTAAGGCGGATATGTCGCAAGGCGCTGAAAAGTGCGGGCGCCATGGCCGACGCCGAACGACCGACACGGCGAGTTGCGCGGGCGCCGGGACACCGATGTATTTTCCGAACACCTTTCAACGCTCGTCTCGCATCGACCGACGGAAACAACGCGTTAATTCCCGTCATAAAATCAGTTTTAGAATTCGGGTTATTTACTTGTTTTTATTTTAGTTCCATGATAATTTTAAACTTGCCACTGTGGCCAATTGGATCACGTGAAAACTGGATCCAAAGCTAAAGACAATTAAATTCAGTAACCCTCAAACGTAAACAGGTAACATGCCTAATTGCCTAGTACAATCTAATAAAATAATGAAACAACAACATACAACAAGTAAAATAAAGCTACACACTGCGCAGATACTGAGTTATTAGCTACAACTATTTGGGTACGATTTTAGGATTATTTTTCTAAATTGGTACTAAAATTCAAGAAAAGCGCAGAAACAAAGTATTAGATAGATACTACTTATAAAAATAAAATACATCTTTGTATACTAATGAATTAAGAAAATCTTTGTATTCACGTTATATTTAAAAACAGTTTATATTAATACAATTAATGGCTATTAATTGAAAATGCAGTTAGTTTCAGATTTACGCCATGACACGTAATAACAACTGTTATTATCCTTATACATATCAGTATTTTGTTAATATGTTTTATATTATGGAAATACCATGGACGTCATTGACTGCTATGGAATGATATGGGTACCTATAATCATGAGGCTATTCTAGTGCTTATTTAGGTACTGTACGGTAATGTACCTTATTAATTAGATAAACTACCAGCTAGTCATTAATTAAACTGTCGACTGGAGTTTATTTAATTCACAGGAAATTGGCTGTGAATTAAATTTATATTTTCCTCATCAATGGATGGATTTTTTTCACAAAGTAATATTTGAAACGGTAGCTATGAGGAAACTTTTATAGACCAAATGATCAGACGTGTTGCAGGCATATTTTGACCTTATCGATCCTCATGAAATTTTTAGGGTGAGTTTTACACTATTTTCAATTAATGACTCAACAATATGGGAACAGTCCCAGACTCAACAATATGGGTACAGATCCATATCTTTAACTATTTTAGTGTAGATACACTTAAGATAATCTGCAATATCGTCATTTCATTTTCTTATACCACTTTTATCTCAGCTACACAGTCTTAGAGGGTGTGCACTGAATAAGTCGTCAAAACTTCAGTATTTAGAATTAGATTTTAATCTAATTTTTTATACCTTTTGTGATTTATTTTTTATACTTTAGTGAACAAGGTTTCGTTATTTTGTTATGAATGAGCTTGGTGTAAGATGACAAGATATATAAATATTTGCAATATGTTTTGAATCTAAGTAAAAGCATGAGATAGGTGCTAAGATTCATCTATTAAAATAAGATCTTCGTCTTAACTTCGCATGACCAGTTTAACCAGTGACGGTTTTATGCATATTTGTAATTAAACTGCTGAATATTTGTTTATACTTAGCCAAGCTAAGTATAAATAGCAATCAAACAATTTAGTTCATACAATCCGAATTTAAAGATGTTCTAAGACATGTTAGTATCTTGGAAATGTGAATAGATAAGAACCTGGTGCAGGTGTGTTGGGTATATTTTGCGGTGTGGCAGCCTGTGTAAGCAGCGCGTCTGTGCTCTGATGCTGCACACTGCCAGCCACCGACTGCGCCGCAAGGGTTTTCCGAGGGTCATCCCATGTCGTCGTCTTCGTTATGTGACTGAAAGCAAAAAGAAAATTACGTTAATACATGTATATTTTAGAAAAGATACTTTATATCATCAAACACACGTAACAAAAATTACGTCGCATGAAACAATATAAATAAATTGTAATAGAAACGTATTTTCCGAACACATTACTTGTGAATAGTAAAGTGTTCATTATAAACCCGTTAGCAACATTGGCATCGTGTGAGCCAAATCTTCCCACTTAGCGGTCGATGTGACCAATTTGTAGACAAAACCGGACACGGAGTGTGCGAGTGCGACCCAGTGAATAGCCACCGCCTTGATGAACGACTCTTTTACTTTCTTTACACTGAAAGTAGGCACTATCACATTCGTAGTTGCGTCTGCAATCATATTTTGACAGCTATGTTTTGACGAGGCCCGCCACTATCACTTCGCAATTAGTTTTATGATCATAAACCAGATGTTTAAAATACCAGGTACTTGAAATCTTATTCTTTCAAGATAAAATGTAGTACCTACATTGGAAAGCGGATGGGGGCATTACCACTACAAATCGATTTGCACGGAACGGTAATGAACTTGGGCGCGCTATCAGCTGTTAGCGATGTCACGCCGAGCACCTGTACGTGGCACGGCGCGGCCGCACCTGCATCGCTACTTATCAACTGCATTTAATTCCTCATTACTTCCAAACTAGACATAACCTTTAGCCAAATAGTCAGCTGTACTCTGAGACCCAGTCTCGGAGGGCACACGCTGTGCTCAGTCATTTGAACACAATTATGATGTATTCACTTGGAAACTAGTGCAAGATTGGATTGTTTACCCTCCAGGGTGCACCTTATTTGATACTAACAAGTACTGTATTTGTCATTCATCGCTAGTAATAAATTCTTTAGCTATCTCCGCAGTTAGCTATCTATCAATAAGCAGGATAATATGTGGTATATAAGAACTACCACAAGTAGATAATGTACAGAGTTCGTTCTGTTATAGAAATAGCTGCAATAATTGTTGTCACAGTTTACCTGACAAGCGATTACGTAAGTCGTGGTTTATTTTACTTCAATGGGTTATATTATATGAGTTCCTATACTATTACTATGCCTAGTTAATTAGATAAAGATGAAGCCATTGTTTTCAATCTACTCGTGTAAGAATATTTTAATATGGATATAAATATCAACATTTTATAGGTATCTCAGATATAAGAATAAGAATTATTCATTATAGAAATGACCAACGATGTCTTGATATTACAACGGAAATCTTTCCAGAGATTTTAGATTACAATCAGTTATTATTTTCGGCTTTACACCTGATAGAAAACAAGTGACTAACATTTAAACCATATTTATGTAACAATGGCAAAATAGGTCATCAGCAATATGAACGAAATGTGTGATGTAGGCACATCACGCCACTTCAGGTGAACATCGCCGCGGGTGACGGGGTGTGCGGGCGAGTGTGTAATTACAGTGGAGCCTGCGCCTGGCTGGGCAGGGGGGGGGGATGGCTCGAGTTGCATAACACTGACCAAACTGTTGTATCCAACATGCGACTCGCCACATCGTGTTTGTTTGTACACATTCGCATTATTTTGCCCACAATCTGCAAAGGCAACACGTAATCGATCGTTCTCAGAACACAGATGACTGGATTTGGCAACGTGAATGGTAAACCTTTAGTTAGTCATCTTTATACGTTACTTATAGGAAAAGTTACCAAAATATCTAAATCATAAGATATACTGTTTAATAGATCATAAAGTATTTTCATATTTTATATACTTTAACTTAACATTTAATACAACTACCCACACGAGAAATCATTTCATACATAATGAAAAAAGCAAAACTGAAATGAGAAAGTGTTTTACGTTTCGACTGCGTCGTCTGCGCAGATAAAATTATGAATCAGTGAAGAGAAAGTATAACCTGTGCTGAACCGTTATGTCACCGTTATAAACGTTATCAGCATCATCATCCCTCAGCCATAGTGCGGTTAATGTGTTCGCTTATCTAATCTGTTACTGCAGGTAAACTATTATTTTAATGCAAACATCGATTATCATTTCGATAAACGTGACCCAATGTAATTAAAGACGAACAATTTACTATATAACGCAAGCAATCAACACGACCGCGACATGAGCTCTAAGTCTCGCCAAATTACAATTAAAATACATAATAGTTACTAGACAACAATTGCCATATGACAAGGAGCATTAAGAAATAGCCGCCATTTCTCTCGAGCGAAGGCCTTCCACTGTTGCACAATGCACTCGGTGTCGGTGTCTACGCGGCTGATGTCTGTCGGCCTACTGTCCAAATCGAATGTTATCATGATGGTAATACCAAGCTAAAGTAGGCTACTTTAACCAGTCCTTAACTAGGTACATAACACCACTTGCATAGACAAGTTTTCAACAGTCCTATAGATTACAATCACAGCATAAGTTAGACCAAATCTTGAACAGTATTTTAACCAGTCCGAAAACGTATTTCAGGAGGATGTTCTACTTTGACAGTATAACTAATAGGACTACGGAGCTTATTGTGGAAAATGAAAAATTATTTAGCCACTCAAAACTACATTATTTCGAAAACAAAGTATGTATCGTAAACAGATTCGCGAGCAATATGACGAATTCGGTGAAATGCCTCGTGTTTCAATTAAACGGAAAATAAAGTTGGCATCGCGTCCGTCGACGTAACATAAACATTAAAATAACTATGATGGTTGAGTAGCAGCTCGCAAAATCTCATTCAGATGCCAATACATTATAGTATCTATGTACACATGCCGAATCATACCAGAGGCTACACGGTGATTACAAAATGTTTTCACTTTTTGTCATCAAGTAGGTGTAATGGACTTTAGATCAATTAGTCTATATATAAGAATTTACACCATAACAGTTGTAGGCGTGATGTGCTTCGATGTTTACCAGCAAGGTAATATGATGAATCAGCACAAAATGCTAATAATAATTATTCTTCCACATTGTTTGAGAACAAATTTTCCGGTACCTACTACCATATCAGTTCCCAGTAGCTTAGCAATTTAACACACGTGGGGTAAGCACAAATAGGCACCTAACTATAATAATATACCTAATATGAATATATTATTATGTTCACATTACAAATACTTATATACTTTTATAGGTCTACCTACAATGTTTACAAATTTATACTATGTAATTCAAATGATTTCCATTATTATTGTTCAAAACGTCAATATAATGGAATTAAATCGCGGGATGACGTCATCCACGTAATTATAGCCCGCATCAGTTACAATTGAAACCACTTAAATCTAGACGTGTTGTTACGATCGGAACACTGAATCTGAGAGCAGCATCAGTGAGTGCTGAAGATGAGTGCGAGTGTGCGTGTTGCGGCCGTGCGAGTATAAGACGCCGCCACCGCTCTGGTTGCACCGGATGCGCGTCATATCGGACGTACATCCTCGTCTGGTGCGCAATTTTCCCACTTCTCCACTGCACACAACACTACACAATAGACGCCACGATATACAACAACATGAGCCACAAGCCGAGTAACCTCGAAACGAATCAACTTTATTTATTCCTGGATTGATTACATAATCAAGTTCATGTGCGGTTACAATATGTAATATAGAGCGACGTCGATCTTCTACATAAGCGTTCACTGATTTTCTTACAACCCGGCGTTACCCACAGTTATCCGATTAAACAACATTTACGTATTCCTACGTAAACTAATACATCGAAGGTCACAGCATACGCTAATTAACTACATAATGTAGTTCGGTGTAAATTTTATGAAACTCGATGAGGAGGCATTGTCGTCGAAATACAGACCAACTTTTGTTATTTATAGTTTTGTTTGTAAAGGAGACAAGGTAATCGATGTTAAGCACTTATTTTATAGCGAGCTGTTACGAAAGGTCTGGTATCTTTATGATCAGGAAACTTAAGTAGACAAGTTCTAGCTCTACCAGCTCTATCTCCAATCTGAACTCACAACAGTTTCAAAACTTTGTACAAATACTCGCATCTGTTTACAAACTCATTTAAAACCTGCTAAACAGAATTTAACGGGTCTTTCACTGTTACAAATGTTAAGGTCAAAAACCAAATAAGGTATCATCATGAAGAGGGGGTAATAGAAACATAACACAATGTTTGCAACGCAACCAGGAAGCCACACGTAGCGAGTCAAATTCATTTTTGAAACAAGGCTATGACAATTTGAATAATTATTATAGGTACATACATATTACGCACTTTCTGTACTTAGGAAAACCATATGTCGAGTGAATGAAGCTATTAACTTACAGTGTAGAAGAAAGTATTGCTGTTGACTAAGAAAACTATGAATAAATAAACATATGAGAGCTATCCTTCTCTTTCAAATTGAGAAAACAGTTGAAGTGCAACAATCAGCACCTCATGTGGAAATCGTGGAATATCGACACAATATTGACATGCAAATGGTTTCTTTGTAGTGGTAATGCAATAGATGGTAGCATAAACAGTAGGTACGTATGTCTGTGTAGTTGTGTACCGTTAACTGAAGTGTGTCGTTTCGTCAACAAGGCGACTGTTGGCAAACATTGTTCTAACTTCAGTGATCAGTATAAATGTAAATAAAACTGAAGCATTAATTTGAATATTGTTGTTGTCTCCAGCCAGACACGTGCGTTATGCAACGAAGTCAATCTCACTACTATATACCTAATAGTGTTTGTTCAATTTGGTTGCTAAGTAGTAGGTGCCTACCCAGTAGGTACCAACCGCATAATAGGTAGGTATCTAATAGCAAATATTGCAAATAATGCCTGAATACCTATAAGTATTAGTTAATTTACAGATAATTCCTCATTTATTTGCAAATATTTATACAACATAGGTACAGATACCTAAACATTTTTATTCTCTCTGAATTCATGGAATGTCGTTTTTCTTATCGTAGTTTTATCTTGAATTGTAACAATCGTATACATCTTAAGTAGAACCGGCAGTTTGATACAATTA